AGAAATGAATCTATCTAGAAATCCCAATTATGACCGAATACGAACCAGCCGAATCAAATACGAATTCAGATATGATCCCAGATATACCCCAGATACGTAACAAATACAATTCGAGACGAATCCAAATAAAAAAATATCCTGCCAGCTCACCGAGGCGTCAGAGAAGTCGACAGCCCCCCTTTCTTGTTGAGAGGCCGTGCCACTACACAGGATTCTCCACTTGGACCGTTGTCTGCATCGAGAAGTTTGTTGGGTAGTAAAAGGGTTCAGAAGCGCTGTGTGCAAGCCAAACTACCACCAATAGGAGCCACCTTGTTGAGTGTCGTGTCCCGGAGTCCAGCTGCATGCCGGTTATTTGCCGTAACATCTTTGGCAGACGACATCTTAGTTTGCTGGGTGATCCTAGGGCCGAAACCTAGAGTGGGTGCCGGGCTTTTTCTGGGGACGGGAACTCTCGAAAGCCTCGGACAAGCAATATCCTCACTTTCGGTTTCGATTGTTTTGAAGGCCGCTATGCAGAGGCTCCCAGGAAAAGAAAAGCCAGTCTATCAGTCTGACCTTGACCGGCCTTTGTTTGACAAGCTAGGTGATCTGCAGCTGCCCACCAGCGACAGCAGCAAAAACGTGCTAAAACTCAAATCGCAGGTCCCCTCTGCCTGCATGGTCTGCTGACGTAACAGGCACGGAGCTGATTCACAACGCAACAGACCGCGGCAAATCGCCCGTCTTCAGCTTTCACCTCGAGGCCTCCGAACTTCATCCACGGGCACCACGAGGCCGCTCTGCAGTGTGGGTTGTCTTCGCTTGACCCATGGATCTGCGCAGCAGGCGAAGGCCTCGTTGAAGCCATGCCAAGCGATGTAGGTCTCCCGTGGCTCTTTCTGGTCCGGGTGCAGCGCTGCAGCTGATGAGACTCACTTCTTGCTCTCCGCTCGCCGCCACGTCTTGAAGATGTTCAGGATCTGCCGTCCATGATTTTCACCTGGGGGGTGGTGTTCGACTCACATGATGCAAAAAGCAGCTTGAGGGAGTAATGGGGAGGAAGGGGGGAGTGGTGTGACCCATTGCGTCGGTGTCCTAGGAATGTACAGAGGAGAACAAGGACAGGAAATGACAGGGACAGGGGGAATGACAGGGACAAACACAAACATTTACAGACCTTCGCCATGAATTCGCGCCACCTTGGCTTGCCGCGGCCTCTACCTCAAAGGCTTCACCCTGCCCAGGGATGCGAGTCGCCCACCTTGCCGCGGGACTTCGAATTGTGGCTCACGGCTCGCAGCATCGCAGAAGGGGCTTTGTGTCTCGGCCCCTGCTTATCAGTTCATGATCTAGGTAGCCCGGAGGTTCGGGAAGCACTGGTATCCTTGACACACACGATAGCATCTCGGATCTGGTAGCCCACTCCCCAGACCTCTGCGCCAACATGCAACCGTGGGCAGCACCGGGGGGCGGGAGCCTCATATGCGCCACGTCGCGAGGTGTGACTCCTGACATCACAAGAACTCTTCTCATGGGTTCGCTTTCATACGATGCAAGCCTTAGAGGACCTTCTCTTCACAGCACTTTCCGGAAACAACCTTTTCACTTTCGCATACCCTGAAGCCTGCGGTAGCAGCGCATGTCATCCTCGCTGCCTACTGAATTTGCAACTGCACTGCGCTCCGGGGCCCGCTCCCCGACAATTTCTCGCAAAAGGGTTCCCTCCGGACGCCAGCAAAGCTCGGGCAACCTGCCAAGTTGGGCTGCTCGGAAAAATTTATACAGACCGTCGTTGACTAATGAAACCGGTGTGGGCAACTCCTAAAACGGGCGCGAGATTCTGCATTGTTAGGATCGCGCAGCTGTCCTCAGCATGGCCCTCGTAAGCCGCGTAGTGCAGGGCTGTACCTCGGAGAGAGGGACTTTCATTCATGCCGAATCATCCGAATCACTTCCAAGTTTTTCCACTCACAATTCGAGGAGCTCCGTCTTTCGTGCAGAAGGCAATGTCCAAGTGCCGAGCAAAGGCTGGAATCCCGTGCCTGTCGGTTGCCCAACAAGGGAAGGGCCGGGCGCAACGAACTTTCGCACAGAAGCGCTTTCCCTTCGCTCTTGAAGAGCTTCGTTTTGGTCACGTAACAAGTACGCTGTATGTGTTCTGTATGGAGCTATGTAGAAACCTCCTGCTCTTGGCATCCTGCTCATGACTTATACATGACCTATATGAGAAGGACAGCTGCGCGTAGAGTACAGGCCTAGGCACTCGGCTTTGAGGACAGGGGCTCTGTGCGATTAGGTCATGGGACTCCCTTTAAGGATGCTAGGATGGGGGTTGCCTTCATTCACAGAGCTGTCCCGCACCCTTTAATCCTACCCAGATGACCGGAGTGTGCAAACCGAAGACCAGGACCTGTGAAAGAACCCGCATGATCACATCTTGTGGTGTCTGGACTTCAAAACACGAAGCGTCTCAGCAACTCCGGGCTCCCGACATGCACATACGCCTTGGAAAAAGCGCAAAGGGCACATCCCACTGCAAGCATCTCGAACGCATTACCTACTGTATGACTCTAAATCAGCTCCTACAAGCTGCCTTGGCAGCCAGAAGTGCTGTCACTGCTGGACGATTTCCGGAGCGAGTCGCGTGCATCAGTACCTGATGGGCTGATTGATCTGTCACGCCAACTGAAGCATGAAACTGCCCTCGTCTCCGCGATGTGTAAAGAAGGGAGATACCAAATTGGGAGATGATCGGTGCTTGTGCCCCGCCTCTCGGCATGCCTTTCATCTTAAGAAATGCCAAATCCGTGGGGCACCGACATGCCAGAAGCGTCCTGCAGCGGCCCATACTATCTACTGACACATCGCAATGCAACATTGATTGAACAATGTTTGTCTACAAACATGCACAGGCAGGATCAAGAACTGTGGACCTCTGGCTAGGTTCAAGTATTTGCAGCTGTAGTTTCAGGCTAGTCGGCTCGGCCGATTTCGATCTTGTTACAGATGTCACCACCGTCCGGAGCAAATCGCCCAGATTCCAAGTCATATTCAGTTGTGCTAGAATGCAGGCAAAGGAACTCTCAGAGTCCTTGCAGCCATCGCGCAAGGACGTTTGAGGACGACAGGGCCGTGGAGATGGATGGACCATCAGCAGCTACTAGTACGGTAATGCAAGCCTGCAGAAATAGTTCCGAAGGCGAAGAACTCGAAGGGCAGATGCCTACAAACGTTCCGAGTCGCTTCATCCAAATATGGGATTGATTCAAGCTCACCCGTAGAAGACGACGATTCTTCTGGCGAAGCGTCTCAAGATGACGGAAAAGTCGGACAAAAGTGCGGGACAGCGACGGAACGTCTGTCATCGCCGCCACATTCAGTGGTTCTTCGACATTCAACACCAGATGTTTTGCACGACCCAAGGCCCAACAACGGGTGGTGAGGTGTTTCGATGTGGGTGCACAACCTCACAACTCTGGCCCCCTTCACGAAGGTCTCCTTCAGGTCAACGGCACTGATGATTGACGACATGTCCTGCCATGTAACTCGCGTTTGTGGCTTTTGGCACTTCCAGTGCCTTTGGGCTGATTTTGCGTCGTCCCCGGAATGGTTCCGGACACCGCATTCGTTGCCCATGCTCCAGTCCTCCATGCCTCGCACGTCGGGATCGAGCAGCCCAGAGTGGGCGAGCCTGAACAAAGGCGCTCATCACCACTGTGAGACTGGCTGACAGTTGTGACAAGAGAGGCGGCACCCCAGACGAGACAACATCTCGGTTCTTGCTGCTGGTGCCTAGTGGAGAAACCCAAGCCGCGGGCTCCACACTCCAGTTTGGCGCAGAGCTCTGTATAGCTACCTCAAAACCAGAGCGAAAAGTGATCTGTTGCGAGGTGGCACTTGAACATCTCCCAGCTACAGCTCTGAGGGAAGGTCCCGCAGGGGGCGCTTTGTCGGAAGGGAAAGGCTGATTGCTCCAAGCTCTGCTCCTCAACACATGAGAACAGGCAGGAGTGTCCTGGACGAATCCGTATTAATTAAACTTATATTGAAATCTTATGACATGTTCGTACAGCCTGTTGAGTCCTTTAAAGCCCGTATTCAACTTAATGAAGCACTTACTATGCTCTGTCCTTCAAAAGCTCAGCAAGGGTCCATCAAATCGATAATCCCCAACAGGAGAAAGCGAGCACCTCAAGTCCTTACCATACTGGTGTTGGTATCGTATTCTTAATCTTAATGACCATATATTAATCAAACCTTAATGAACCCTTATTACAACCTTAGCCGCCTTAGCCTTAGTAAGCCCATGCAAAATTTCCTGAGCACATTGAAACAAACCATAATTCAGATGGCCTATTATCAAACATAGAACTGACGAGACTCACCAAAAATAGGAAACCAAATCTGCTCCATGTCTAATCGATCCCCCTACGTTTGCTAAATTATCTAAATTATATTATAGGATTAAACACATGAGTCTGCTCGCCTAAGTAATCAAGTATATATGCACATGTAATTAATCAATTCAGTTTAAGAACATCACCAGCTCGAATCCCACAAAGACAACTACCCAAGTTTGTAAACGGGTGTTCTAATCAACAAATACTAGAGCCCTTTCGAACTGAGAAGGCTGTTGCAACGGCAGGTCCTACGGGGCTGCACCCTCTCAGTCCCCGGCTGTCCGTCGACCTGAAGCATTGATTCTTCTCAGAGCGTCAAATGCAAGAGCTCACTTAGCCAACAACAAGATAACCTTCGGGAGGTGAGGTGCCATTGACTGATTGACTCTTGGAAGCACTTTTTGCCGTTCGGGCGAAAATTGTATGCGCAAAAGCTAAGCGCGGGGCGGGACCAGCTTTAAAATTGGATCATTCACGTGCAACTCCATCGACGCTGAAGGCATGTGCGGCAGCATGGAAAAACTCGGAATCCAAAGAGGATGTGCTGCAGCGACGCACCAAGCTAGGCCGGCAGCATCTTACCGTCGCAGAACGGAAAATCGGAAGCACGACCATGTCCGATGTCCTTGCCGTTATTCTCGCCACGCAAACTGGATGAGCCCAACAGTGCGGTTGCCCGCTGGAGAGGATCGGATACAGCAGCGCGCAGTCGTTGAAGCAGTCATTGGCCATGCAACCACGTCCATGTGGCGGAAGGCATTGGTCAAACGCGGAGAGGTACTGGGAATTGGGTCGATCCTCAGCACGCCTGCACCCGCAGATTCGTGGCCATGGCCCATGGCAGTCCATACCACCACCCATCGTGGCACACGGAGCAGAAATGAGGAGAGCTCACTGGAGAACGCCGAGTTACCGGCTGACTGCAGCCAGCTCGACAGAAGCGGGGCTTTCGTTATCCAAGGGCCGTCCACGGGTCTCGACCACCAGAAAACCTTGGAGTGCTAGATGAATAAAGAGACAGTGTGTGCGTAAAATGTGTCCTGGTCAAGCTGTTGAGGGCTGTCGGCTACAAGCATGCCGAAGCAAGCCAAGCTGCTGGACGCAACAGAACCTGCAAAGGACGACAGGTGAACAGGGGAAGGACATGCTCAAGGGCTGAAGGCCTTGGACATGCCTCTGGCGCACGACTACAGGGGCCTTGCTATGTCGCCCTGACTTCCCCGGCCTAGCAGTGACAGGAGAACCAGGCCTGGCCAGAGGACAAGCTGCCAAGCTTTTTATCTGCGCACCGCAAAGGCTGACAGGACAATCTGCCGACAAACTTGCCAGAACCTCTTAACAGAAACGGAAGAGCACTGTTGTGCAGCTGGTAGCCAATGCCATACACAGCAGGTGCCTCACAAGCCAGCTCAAAATTCTTTTGAACGGTGGGAGACAAGGCATCTCTCTGCCAAGTGCGATTCATGCTGTGCAGCTGCTGCAATGGAGCCCAGTCTGCCGACGCCCATGCAAAGTCCAACCCCAGATGCTCGCACAGACACCTCGGAGCTGTCTGAATCGCAGAGTAGTCAGATTGCAGTGTCCACAATCAGTACAGGCACGCCATTGTTTGCACCATTTCCCTCTCTTTTCGCTCCACCTCCCTCAAGAACTGTCAAAGAAGCCGTCATCGTGGTGATATCGCAACAGCGTCAGATAGATGCTAGGCTTCCCAACTTCTGTGACAGACTCATGTTGACGCGGTCGGACTTACCACTGTGGCGAGGCCTGTAGTCACCCCGCTGCCTGAGCCCCTCGTATTGTACATCCCAGTCAAGTCAACACTTAAAAAGGGCGGGATTGCGGATCCAGTTCTGCATGCTGACATATTAGATGCTGACCAGCTGTGGCTTTACGTGGCCGTCTGAAGCATCGATTCGCTGTGATCTTCAGTCTAGCCGCCGGCAGGGCCTCGGAGATGTACAGCAGGAGGAAGGTGAACATGATGCTAACCACAGCCTACGCAGACCACAAGGATAGCAAGATCAAGAAGCGGGGCCAGGGGTGGGCTCAGAAGTGGATCGCCTGGGGTGCCTAAACCTATCTTTCTCAAATCCGTGTCAAGTTCATCATTCAACGGTCTGCATTCGATGAGAATTCTGCCTTCAAGGCATAGGCTGCAGGATCTGCCACGTAGAAAGCACCGTAGTCGGCACCTGGCACGACAAGTCTCGCAAGCCCCGTGGACATATCCTGCCGACTCTCAGCAACACGCAAGTGCTTTGGAAAGGTCGACACTCTGAAATTCTCACGAGCCGGGCGGGCTCGTCAGCGCAGCGCTGCATAGAGCTGAGCCCACGCAGAGCAGCTGCAGCGTCCTGATGCGGCCTCAGACGCAGCTTTCTCACACAGACCCAACCTGAGGATCCTGAAAGCGGGTATCTGCTAGCAGCTAGCACAAGGTCAGATGCTACAAAGCTGAGGCCAAGGCCCAAGGTTGGATGCAGCAACAGCAGCCACGCGAGAATGATGCCAACGAACTCTGCACCGGAAATGATTAGCATTTCCATAGCAGGGCTGGTCCAGTCTCCTGCCATCTCAGCAAAGATCCTCGGCACTCTTCAATTGCAAGCAATCGCCGCACTGTGTTGAAGTTGACACTACCCAACACTCTGCATGGTCTTTTCATGTGCGATGACAGCACGCCGACGTGTGCATGCTACTGTACCTTTTCGTTTATGTGATCCTTTGTGCGTTTGCACGGGTTTTTAGGGGAGAGTGCACTCACACGAACTTGAGCAAGCAATCCGGAAATGAAAAAAGATGATGGCAATGTGACAAGCACGGCACGTTGTGGCACTACCGTGTCGACACCTGACACGAACCATAATCAGCCACGGCACTGAGTAAACGCCTCACAGCTTGTGTTTGGAGAATAGGCCACAGCAATCAATCGAGCAATGCCACACTATGCTCGATACCAGGCGAGGTGCAAAGGTAGTCCCGTAGAACAGATAATTCATTAGAAAGGCCAGATAAGAGGCCAGCACAAGGGTCCTGCAGACTTCCGAGAACATCAGCCACACTGCTTGCAGGCGTCCGAGGACATCAGGCGCGCTACTTAGATTCAAAAGCATGCCGGCATAGTCGGAAACACGTCAGCCTCCTAATTAGAAGTGCGTTCTCTGCCGGCTCCTGCAATGGCCATCTCGGACAATGGCGTGCCAAGTGGATGCCAGGGTCTTTGTTGAGGCAGAAGAGATCTTCTGGACCTGCATCCATGATACACCAGCGGCTTTAGCTTTCGGCAACAAATGGCTCACATGGATGGCACCCGACCTCGATGTCGACGTCGCTCTTTCCATGAAGGCGCTGTATCTTGGCCTCTCATGCGATCACTGCGTGAGCCCGCCACTCGCCCCCAGATTGACGGCACTGGCTCCAGGGACTGGGTTGCCGGGCTAACAGCTCGTTGAGCTCTTTGTGCTTCCCACAAAGCTGCAGCCAGCTGGGTGATTCCTGCACCAGGAATCCTTGCCCCGGGCCAACGAGTGCAAAAGAAATCTCATGCAGGAAGCACGGGCATGGCGAAGCCACTGCGACTCGATGCCAAGGCACCCAGCGGCGTCATGAGGAAGGCTGGCAGCACGCTCCAAATGCACAGCAGCCTCCAAGGTCCCTGTCACAGCAAGCCACAACCGATTTTCTGATGCTGGACTCACAATGGCCAGAACTAGTGTTCTGTCAGCACCGAGTGACATCTAAATAAGCAGATACACCTGCAGCTGCTGACTCACTTCAGACGCGTGCTGGTCCGTCTGAGGAGTTCGGCGTTGTTTGTGACGATGGGGGCTTTCCCCTATTCCCAACTTGAGGGCCGGGGGCATGGTTTCGCAACAGGACACGACAGAAGGACTCAACGGCTACACAGACGCAAAACGAAAAACACCGTAGCCGCTGAATGTGCTGAAATGACTGTTTGGTTATGCAGCAACCTACGTCAGAAATTAAGCACCATTATAGCCAAGCTTCACAAAAATAGAAAACGCAGAGCGACATGGCTGCACTTCACAAACACTTCACAAACAAGTACTGATATATCAATTTAGCCCCCCTCGCCCCCCCTCCCCCCCCTCCCCCACCAAAACACAGGCTTTCGTCTGAACCGTTCAATTTAGCACCCCCCCCCTCCCCCCGTCCAAAACACAGGCTTTCGTGTGAACCGTTCAATTTAGCCCTCCCCCCCCTAAATTGATACTATCAATAATACGCTGGTTTCTGGCCCTAGACTGCCTCCCTGCTTAAAGCAAGACTAAACTCAGGCTCTGCTACGCGAGCTTTCGTGACCTGTACATCCGAGTGCCCTTACTGTCCTGGAATGTTTCCCACTGAGTAAGAACTTTCAACATTGCACCTGCAGGTTTGGCATGAAGAGTAGGAGGCCAAAAGCAGTCCAAGCTTCTCCAAGCCTGAGTCCGTCGAGCTCCAGAATACGTAGAGCAAGTTCAGTGGGTCCTGGAGCAAGGGCTTTCTCAGAAAGCCCTTGCTCCAGGACCCACTGAACTTGCTCTACGGCATGAGCTGTGGCCCGGAGCGACGTGGGCTAACACGTCGTGTGCGCGCGCAGCTTCTGGCAGCCAGGCAGCACGAAAGCGAAGCCAGTTGCGTTGGAGAGTGCCCCCCTCTGCTCAGTCGGGGTAGCCTGTGTCACGATGGATTTGGGAGACATGGGCAGCCGCCGCACCGTCCGCACTATATCAGAACCCTGCTTGTCAAGGATGGGAGTGCTCAGATGTGCGGCATGCTCGTGTTGCAAGATGACAGGGTCACAGTAACGCATGAGTGTCATCCTCGAATCTGGTAGCGTGTTGTTGAAGGCATGCCAATGCCCTGTACAATCCTCCAGTGACCACCTGCCAAGCAATGCTCTGGAACTCGAGAGTTACCAATAAGAGACGACGCTGAAGAATGTAGGGGAGTTTGATGGATCCGGACTTTGCATGACAATGGCTGTAAATATCCAGGATGTGTACCACAAAGCGCGCAAGCATTGCTGACGTCACATTTGCTACTAACCCAATCAAAGCCATGAGCAAGATCTTGATCGTGGCAACGAAGGCCAGCACCACATTCAGGCTGTCCCACTCGAAACTTCCGAATCGTAATAGCAGCTCTACGACTCTACGTGCCTCGGTCAGTAGTGTCACCGCAGAGGGGCCGCCGATGCCGATGGCGCAGCCCAAGCTGATCCTGAGCCGAAGGGCGCTGTCAGGTCTGTTGCAGCTTGCACGCATGCCGGAATATGACTCCCCAACGACTGGGATCGATCCCATGTGCGTCTCATGACATGAGATCTTCCAATTGCAAAAGGACTGGAAGAATGCACCTGGTGAACCATTGCAGGCAAGTGGCTGCAAGAAGAACAGCTGGCCGATGCTCTGCACAACCCTGCATTCATGAGCCCAAACAGAGCAGAGCGGAGCAGGGCACAGCCTGACAGCTTACAGCCATAGCAGTCGCCATTGCAGTCAAGGGCACGAACAGAGGAGGCCGAAGAAGCTGACGAGCCAGAGCGAAAGAATGCAAATTCGTCGGCGCCCAAACCTGGCAAAACCACGCGAGAAAACGGCAGGGAGAAACGAACGGAACGCTTATTGCGAGTCGCGCCTGGTGCTTAGAGGCCCGCTCAGCAAATTACCCATCTGCATTCCGGCAAAGGAGGTCGACCTGGTCTCGTGCCAGATTGTCACTTGTCATCACTTGTCCCTTCTTGCCAAAGTCCGCTCAAATCCCACATGCACGTGACCGTGTGACCGTGGTATGGACTCTGGGAGCCGAGCACCAGAAGGCCTCTGGCCATTCGGCCCAAACGAAGCTCGGGGCCCAGGGCAGAGACGATGGCAGAGATGAGCCTCGGATCTTCTGTCTTTGGAAGTGCTGAGCCGCGGGAGGCAGAGTTAGGCTCTTTCCTCAGCCTTCTCTGGCCAGGCTGAGACTTTGCGCATGCGCACAGCCATGTGGCAGCATCTCAGCGCCGTCGGCAAGCATGACTCCGGAGCAGAAGAGAGCAACCAAGACGTGATAAAGACCAACCTTGGGAAGTGGAATCTGTCGTCTTGGCTCCTACCGGTCCTGCCGGCAGCGTCTTCTGCGCAGTTGACAGCTAGGCATCCCACGCCCAGATCGTCGAGAACCTGCGATGGTTCACTGCAGGGTGCACTAATGTCCACTGCTTGCGAACAGCCTCTTGTTGAGATACTTCCCTCAAACTTGTACGGCCGAGTGGCTACGCCCAGGTCTCGGCCCGTACTTGCCATGGCAGCGACTGGCTCGCTTCTCAGCGGAAATGTCAGGACTTCTAGATTGCCTTGCCAAACGATATGTCCTTGCATCGGTATGGATTTCAGCCGGTTCTGCTAACAGTGGATTCATTGCATATGCTCAAGCCAAGCTCCCCCCACGAGTGCCCGCGCCCTAGCTTAAATTGCATACGGTTCAGCAAACCTAGATTTTTGGTGGAGGCTGAGGCGGCTGAGGGTCCTGCGTTCCCGTTCCGACCTGGAGCTTACACTTCCCGCCGGAGTTGACGCGCAGAAGCATCAACCAAAACCTCAGGTCCGCATGGCTCTCGAATTTCAGCTTCTTCAACTCAGTGTCACGGATGAGACCACAGCCACTCATCGTCTGCACCGAGCTTGTCGGTCCTGTGCAAGACGCTGGCCAACGGATATTGACGGATGTTGTCAGGTAAAGATTTTCTCTCAGGCCTCACCGCCTCTTGTCCGGCGGCAGACAGCAGCCACCTCCAGACGTCATCTGCGGACCGCGATATGCTACTTGCTACGAGTCGGGCCGCGTCCCGTCGGTTCAGGCCGCGGCCTTTCATCGATCTTGGCCAAGGCCGCGGGCTCGGAGGCTGCGTCGTCGCCTGAGCTCGCTTTCCCTTCTCGGCTCTCATGGACAGCCCAGACGGTTTCGATGAAAACTCCTGAGTCTCTGAGTCAAAAGCTGCCATCACTGACGTGAAAAGCCAACTTGACATTGCGGTCAAGCGCTGCACCTGTTCCCCAATGGTCACTTTCTCTTAATCAAAGGCTCTTCCAGGTGCAGCAACCAGCTCCACAGCCCTTACCCTCGTCAATGAACATCTGGACCATCTACTTCAATCGCTTCTTACAAAAACCATGATGAAACCAGCCTATTCGGCCTTGGCGATACTACCCTCACAGCAAGCATAGAAATTTCAAGGGGCAAAGGCGGCCTTTGGACTTCAGGTGCATCCAAATGCGCAGGCCCTGCTTGAGGGCGAGATCCTTGCAGCTCATGCACATGTCAGCACACGGGCATGTGCGGCATCTACGGTCCACAATGGTTGAAGGATCTTGTGGGGCAATGTGGTGCCAGTACGTTTTCATGGTGACTTCTGCTGCTAGCAGCTAGCTTTAGAGCCTTAGAGCGACTCGTCCACTCGTAGCTGTCCCTGTGCATCTGAGGCTCGGACCCAGCCTACATCCTGCCTGAGCTCCAGGTGGCAAACACCATACATGCCAGGCATGACCAGGACGAGCGTGTGCCACAAGTGCTGCCGCGGGATGTAAAACTGGGCCTGCTGCCAGTCGGAGGAGAGAGTGAGCGTCCTGTGCCTGAGATCATGTGCTGAATGCATAAAACATCGCAAATCTTTTCCCGTACCGATCGAGGCACTGGCTGTAGCATTGACGACAGCAGAAATGCCTTTTAGTCAGTGGCCAAACGGCCAAGCTCAGGCAGTTCGAAGCTGTTTCGAGCACCGGTCGCCTCCGCTGCATCTGGCAAAGGCTGGACAGACTTGTCCTGCAACCAGGGGGAATGGAGGTTGGAAGACAACACTCCCGAGTTTGACGTGGCTTATCCTGAGGCCCGAACACGCCAACACGGTTGAGTTCAGTCGAGCCGCTGGGTGTGACACGGGTATCAACCATGTATACCCCCCCCCCCCCTCCACACACACAAAAAAAAGCAGGTCCAACCTCTTCAGGTCCAGCTCTCCTCGCAATGAGAGACACGAACTGAAGTTGCCAGCCGTGCAAGCTGAGAGCTCTCCTTGCACGCCGCTGCGTCTGTTCCAAGAGCCGCTGACGGATCTAGGGCGATACGATTTGGAGGGTGTGGGACCGTAGCTGCATCACATCAAACACACGGGCCCGTGCTGCTGATCTAATGGAAGAACACTTGCTGACGCCGGAGCCACTGAAGGAATCGTCAACCCTTCCGACGCTGCCCGGCCTCGGCCCAGTCTTGCGAATCCACGGCCAGCAGTTCCGTCTGCTCCATCTCCTGCGCGATGCGAGGCAGCGATGAAGTCCAGTGAAGCTCACATATAACAAGTACTACCTGTAGTAGTTTAGTAGTTAGCCAGCATGTCGCTATCATTTTCACGAGCCCTCTGCTGTGCGCTCTGAAGATTTTGAGCTTCAGATCGGGGATTTCTGCTGAGAGGCAGGACACTGCCAGGCTTCTGAGAAAGCAAAAAGGCCCAGTTCGAATCTGGGGATTCCTGGCTCGCAATGCCTTGCAGCTTGCATGCAATTTCAACGGTTCAGCGAAATAGAGTCAAAGATGGATCGGGGCTTCAGCCCTCGACCTCAAAGGTCTGCACATGTAGTGCCGGGCCAAGCACGAAGGCTTCGAGGATTCGAAGAGCCGGACCCGGCAGGTCCATTCCCGAGGGGCCCGCAAGGCTGTGCAGGAATCGCACAGCCAAGGCATCCTCTGCGAGCACCTCGGAGCAAGACCGGGGCCCCTCCACTCCTCCACGGAATCGATTGCTGCTGTTGATCCGAATCCTTACCATGCCCCTCCAACCCCCCGAGCCTCCGGGAGCGCACACCACTGGCGCACCTGAGACTTAGATGCTGTGATGTGCCTACGATACTAAATCCTGCCCGAATTCGGAGATGTTTGCAGCTCCGAGGCCGGGACCATCTCCATCTGCGCTGCCCAGATGCTCAAAGGCGACGGGTTGGAGTCGGATGCGCTCTGGTCAAGGCCGTCCAGGCAGCGCCCGCGCACGTCGCATACGTCAAGCGTGTAGTCAGACAGCACCCAGGGTAGGTGCCTGCCAGGGCTCTGGGCAAGCCTGTACAAGCCTCCTGATGCCTTATGCCGTGTGGCTCCGATCTTCTGCGGCTATGGCTGCCTAAATTTTTTGGGCACTGCGGGCTTGCACGGTATGGTTGGTAGGTCATTGTTCAGGAGGTTAGGTTCAGGCTCAATGCAAAGTATCGGGAGGTTCACGTTTCAATGCTGGGTTTAGTCGGTATTAAGCTGCGTTCCAGCCAATTACCGCGCACCTCATGCGCAGATACATGCAGTGGATTTCCTTGCGCACCATGTTGATGGCGGTGCGAGTGTTCATGTCTAGTAAGAGCTTGACCACCTGAAGGCACTGCAGTTTCACAGGTCGAAGGAGCTGCTCGCGTGGGAACTCACGCACCAAACGCCGAAGCAGGCATGTATCCAGCGAAGCTGGAAAAGGACCCCGTTGCTCGTGCGGAAACTGCTGCAAGGCCTCCTCCTTAAACTTGTCCCGCAGACCAGCATGCAGAGCTACTTGGAGCTTGTCGATGTTCAGCCTATGCGAAAGCTCATTCCCGAAGCCCAGCAGCATGTGCATGCGGACATGGCACGTGACGCCGTTCGCGACCAGGATTTGCACAGTCTCCAAGAACTGGGGCCAATCCTCTTTGAGTAGGTGGCTGGAGGGCCAGCAGATCATGGCGTCGAGCAGCGAGTTCCCAAAATCGTCTCGCAGTAACGACAACTCCTGACCATCTGCGACCGCCTTCTTCACCGCGTCGAGGTCCACGATACGGCGCAAGCCGTGTCGAAGGTGCTGGTCCTCTCTGCAGATGTACCGCCGTTCGGATGCCATGACTGGCAGAGGCTGCGAGCTCCAAGGGCTTGACTTCAAAGGGCTGAGGCGAAAAGCCAAGGCGTGGAACACCCACAGAGCGCGGCGAGCGCGGCGAGGGGTGAGAAGCCGAAGAGGCCTCGGCCTCGGCCTGCTCTGCCGTTCTTGGGCCTGGACACGGGGCCCGACAAGCAAAAACCTTGCGCCGCCCGCACTTTGGGCTGGGCCGCCTTGGGCTTGTGCCGCGATGTCCTGCCGGAAATCAGTCTGTCTTTGGCCCTGTCCCAGATGAACTTCTAGAGAAGACGTGCGTCCTGTGGCCGAAGTTCGGTTCCCAGTCCTGCTTGCCGACGGGTGCAAGCAACAGTGCTACAGGGGCTGCTGCGACTTTCCAAGCAGAAGCAACTTCAATCGGCGAGCACTGGAGGAAGATCCTTCGAAATGAAGCTCAACATCAGAGGACTCCGAAGGGACTGAGCTGCTGCCTCAGCAACTCCGCTGTGAATAACGGCACACTGTTCTGCGGAAACGGTGAGGCCGCGGCCCAGGGGAGGCGCTTGGTGAAGCGGAATACAGCAGGACAGCTCCTGCGCCCACCTGGGGTCAGAGGCGAGAAGCTGGGCTAGCGCTGGTTTGGGAGAGTTGCCGGGAGAGGCGCACAGGATAACTCGGGAATGACCGACATGACCGACATGAAAGGTCCGTTGCCAAAACCGCCTACACAAAGACAGCGCATCTAGACGGGCAGCAGAACTACGCAGCACCCGAGCGATTCAACGGCTTGGCCATCCCACTCTCCATGGGGTGCCACACCGCAGAGGACCTTTGCGACCTCCTGCCAATTGTCGATTGCAGCCATGTGAGCCCTGAATATGCTTGGGATTGTTTTCTGCGGGCAGCTTTCCCGCCGCGCCTCGGGGCCCTTTGTAAAGAACGCGGGCTCTCGCCGAGTGGTCCGCCAATGCCTCCAGGTCAGGACTGCACAGACCACACTCCCTCTAAGGTGAAGGAGCTGCAACTTGTCACCGCAGCTTCGCTGTAGCCTCCAAATACGGGATGGGAGAGGCCTCATCAAAAAGTGCTGTCTGCTCCGTTTCGTTTTGTCCCAACAAACCGGCACACTGCTCCTTTTTACATTTTCAAAGCTGGTAATGCTCGACAAACTCCTGCTCTAGCTCGTGCAGGTCATCAGCACAAATGACCTGGGTGCTGCTGCAACACTGACAGTGAAAAACAAGTGGGCACAAAGACCTGCTCCTTAGCCTGCGCCTCCGACCGCCTTCAAGGCACCAGGGAGTGCAGTGGACCTCCAAACTCGGCCTCCGCAAGCTTCTCCACCGGCCCCGCTCGGATCACCTCTCAGGAGCCAGTGCCATATCAGTACAGCTACATCAGCTCACTCCGGTGCGGACATGTCCGTCAGATATTTCCAGAAAGCTGCAAGAAAAGAAACAAATCATGGACAAGCAAAACCATATATATATATATATATATATCCAGATTGGTGCAGTACTCACGAAGGCACTACTGCTGATGGCGGTGGTGACGTTGCTGGTGGTCGCGGAACTGCTCGTGTGATGCTAATCCTGGTTCCGATGCTGCTTACTGTGATGTTGGTGGTGCTTGCGCTCATGGTTTAGATGATGTTAAGTGGGGGTGGGGGGGGGCGGCGGTGACGGTGGCGAGAGTCATCAACATCGTAATGATCTTCTCGGTATGGTCTTGATTTTAAACGGCACCTCAAAAAAAACGTCTGCTTCATGGCGAATGTCGATGCGGTCAGAAGGTTGCTTGACGGACCTAAGCGGAGGCTTCATCATCATCATTCTCATCATGAAGGCTGGTGGTGGTGGCCATAGTGACGGCTCTCTGTCTTCTCGAACAAACGCTCAAATTTCAAGCTTTGAAGAGAAGCGTAGATCATTCCCAATCCCAACACTGTGTATTGCACCTGGTCTTCGCGCCCCAGGCGTGCTAATCCGAAGGCCATGCCGGCTGAGACGCCCTCAGCCTTGGCCTCAGGGTGCAGGAGGCTTTTTATGACTTGAGTTTGTAGCTCACTGCTCAGAAAGTTGAATATCACTTTTCAGACTGGCGGCCTTCTCAACTTCCAGAAGTTGCTCCAATGCCTGACTCACCTGATCCAGGTCATTGCAGTCATCTTGTTACAACTCGTGCTCTCTCCCCACTAGGGGCATACCACCGCCATCCATTGTTCATACTTCTGGGTACGAGGGCGAAGTTTCTTGCAGTATCGCTGAACTCTCGAAGCTGAAAAGCCTGGAGTCGGACGTCGTCTTTGATCAGGCTCGCTCAACTTTGTGACAAGCCACTGTCATGAATCTCGGCGGCTCATAGACTTTCCGCCCGCGCATCAGATTTTCGACCTTGCCGGAGACTCGCACAGGATGTGCCAGCAGCTTGAGCAGCCATTTCCGGACATGGGGCAGATTGCTCCTTGACTTTGATGTCAAGCAGGCAGAGCGTGTGAAGCCCCGCTTTTTTGTTCTTCAGTATCTTGTCCTCGGAGCCCATTGACAGACGCCAACCGAGAGATTCCTTCGAAAAGAAAAGCTTTTCAACAAGCGTTGCCAGGTAGAGACCCTGGTGTCGTACCAGCTGTCAGGCCGCCAGCCATCCTGCCAGAACGGGATCGACACCGTCTCGCCGAAACGATACAGCTGCAGCCCACACGAAGCCACTGCGTTCATCACCTTAGTCATTGCAAGAGCTATGACATCATCAAATCAAATTGTTGCGAAGACGAAGACCCCTGCAGCATAGTGACTCAACTACTTTGCCACTTACGCCACTCGGGTGCTGACAGAGGCGTTGTGGATTACCCGCACAGGAATCTCCCGCTGCCTGGCAAGTTCTCGCACCGAGCCCAGGCTAAAGGGTCTTTAAAACTCGCGATCCGTGGGCCTTGCTCTCAGCCACAGGTCGGTGTGAGTTGTTGCACAAAGCGGGTCTCCCACCACCAGAAAGCACCTCAGCGACAGAACAACTTCGGCGTGCAGGCTCGTCCATTGGCCCGTCTGCAGTTCGAGGCACACTTCTTGATCCTGCACAGGGACGTGATTACTCCCCCAAATTTCGTGCAAGACTACCCGAAGCCAGTGTCAGCAAATGGCAGCCTTGGCTCTTTCCAGCATCTCCTCACAGCCGCTCTCCACCAGCTCGCGATCTGCCTCCAGAATCTCTGGTACTCCATACCTGGCTATCATATCTCTTTCGAATCTGGGAGTTTTGACAGTTGCAATGCAACGTCTCTGATGATTCAGGCTTGTGCTGAACCGTCAAAGGGTGGTCCCTTGAATGTCTGAAACCTCTTCTTGGGTCTGGCCGCGCAGCTGCCAGCGTCTCTCTGTCCAGCCCTGGCAGGATGGACGTGTACCTTGGACGGCGTACAGTAGGACTTCAAAGCGGAGGCTTTTGAGTTGCCCTGTCTTGAACGGCTGATGCATGTCATGTGGTGAAACAGTAGTCAGTAGTCATAAATCCTGTCGCATAAACGGTCTCCCGGATCTCTTGCCGAAGCATTCACGGGTTTCGAGACCAGGCCACGCTTCCAAGTAGATGTAGGCACTCCTCAGGCCATGCTCAGAATGATCAGATTTTCCACTGGGCGCAGCAGGGGCTCCATGTGAGAATGAGAGAATCTGTGATGCATGCCATGATGCTTGACTCCTCTGATGATTGTTGCTACCACGATTAAGACTAGTCGTGTAGGGGAGGCAGCAGCAGATTCACTGGCTTCTGACGCCAAGGCTCTGTTGCACCGCTTTTAGACCTTTCACAGAGATGTCACCATCATCGCCCAAGCCCAGGCCAATCATCCACAGCACCATGGCGCCGAACGGACAAGCGTTCCGGAAGGCTTCGGGCTTTCTGAGCCTGTGACCTCTTCATGGCACTAGCCGACGGGAGAATCCATCGCGTTTTGCTTACGATTCGTGTTCTGTCTGTGAGTTTGGTTTAGTGTCCAATGACCATGTGTCTTGTGAAAAACTGCATAAGCAAGTGGGTAAGTGAACCCAGGTCAACTTCCGTTTCAAGCTGCTCAGTGCATCTTTGAGGCTGCCATGTCTGCCTTTGCTCTAAGGGCACGGCTCGCCGTCGCTAGCGAGATGGCCTGCGGGAGATCGCTGCGGAAATTTCTGTCCACCCTCACACGCCTCCGCCATCTCTCTTGAATCGCATCCGACTTAATTTTGACTTAGTTTTGTCTTTGGATTCCGATGCTGTCTATGACTGCTTCCCTGAAGCCTTTCGACAGACCACTTCGAACTCACATGTCCATCCACTGTCCACGCACAAGTCCAAAGCCCCGGTCCAAAGAATCCCAGCCCTGCTGCCCGTCTAGAGACCAACTGGGTGCCAGGCAAAACTCGCTCCAGGTGCAGTAGTGATAGGACAGCCTGACAATGGAAGATGGCAAGTACCCAGTGACAGAAAACACTTTTCATTGACACTTTGGGATTCCGGTATCTCATGTCCGAGATGATCAGATGCTCTAGGGGTAAGCCCGACTTCAGTCTGCCCCCATATCAGACAGTCCGTTCCTCACAGATGCTGCTGAGGGGCTCTGCATCGAACTCAACATCGTCACAATCCACCCTGGGACAGCGATTTGCCGAGACTGACCACCGCACTCTGCTGCAGATACACAAACAATCGAGTCAACCGGGCACCCGGCAACAGCGCCTGCCCGTGAATGACGACTCCAGCCACGTGTCGCAACACCACTCTGCCAAGTACCCGATCCTGACAACAGGTAGGATGCAGGCAAGGACAGGCTGAATTAGTGCCATCAGCAACTTGTGACGAAAGAAAGCTGCTATGCGAGGCGCCCGCACCTTGGAAAGCTGCGGAATTTTGTAGCTGAGGATAGTACAAACTCGAAGCCGTAACCATTGGGCAGTGAAGCGCTGCGTAGCATCAGCAGGCTGATCTGCGAAGTCTGGGAAGTGAGACCTGCTCACCAGAACTTCTCAAGGTGCTTTTGCCCATCTCAGCAGAAGGCCACAAAGTCTATCCTCGAGTGAAGCCTGGAGCTGGGCTTAACAAAGGGACCCTGATCAGAATAGGGTTTCCGGGAAATATTATGGCATACGTACAACAAGGAGCCGCAAGCAGTAATAAGGCAATAGATCAGATTTCTACACCCTGATAGACCGCGGCAAAGGTCGCCTTTGTGTGAATTGCCGCCAGCATCTATCCACTCCTGGAGAGCAATGAGACTAATCGCTCTTCTGCGCCATCGGGAAGTGAGCTACAGCGATTCGAACCATCTCAAATCCAAAGAAATCAATGGGAGCTCTGGTCCGAGGAATGGGCGGCCAGCGTGGCACACTTCTGCTCCTTCCTGCAACACGCGGCCGTGGTATGAAGTCGACAAGATCGGAAACACAGCTGCGCAGAAAAACACGCGTCTTCGTAGCAAGATGGCTTGAGAACCCGAACCAGAAAGAGACTCCCAGCAGCCTGCTAGCTTAGATACGAAGGGAGCCGTTCAAAAGCGCCGGGTTGCATCTCCGGCCAGTCCAAACTCCTTTGCTGCTCCTTACCCTGTGCATCTCTGTGCCTCTCTCCTTCACAAGACTAGCACAGGTGAAGCAATCCGGGTTTTCTCGAACCCAGCACGTGTGCTTTCAGCGGCCAGGAAGTTTTCAAGTCCTGCCAGTCATCCTTTCTGTCGGAGCAGCGGCAGCGTGAAGACAGCAGAACCAGCACAGCAGATCCAGCAGCAGTACCAGTAGCAGAACTCTCGTCTTTGAGGTGTGGAGGCGGCGGCCTTCTGAGAGGCGTCGACGGCTGCTGTCAGGCACTTCAAGAAGCAACTTTGATCCTTCTTGTCGCTGCTCTTGCTGTTCGTTGCTGTTGCGTTGCTGATGTCGCCGCTACTGTGTTTCCATGGCAAGAACTGCATGGCTTGCGAAACCTTGCGAAGAAAGCTTTGGCAGAGCTCCTGGACCTGGAGCTGTTGGAGATGAGACCGGCTGTCTCCTGCCAACCCCAGCATCTTCTGCTCGCGAGATGTTACGGACATGGCCGATCATGGCGGGCTGCAACCCCACCTTCTGAAAGCAAAGGACCCCCGCGTACTCCCGAAATGTCCCGAATCTCCACGAACGATCGGACTGCCGAGTCTCGTGCAACAGGGCATGATGCTCCGTGACGATCCAAACTCTCATACTACGGGAATACATGCCTCCAAAGTCGGGCTCAGCAGACGTGGAGCACAGCAAAGGTTTAAGTAGTAAAGCAACCACAGACTCCTTGTCACTGAAAGCTTAGACTCTTTGCTTGACGTACGTGTACCCCAAGCTGCTGTGTCCTGCGGCAACGCACGATCGCCTCGCGGAAGCGGTGGCGCACGCTCGCCCCGCCTTGCTCAATGCAACGAACAAGCAAAAAAGAGGTCATGTTAGGCTGCTACGGACACTTCTCTTCCTTTGCAGAAGAAGAACCTGGCAAGCCACATGTTGGGGACACTCTCTTCCGAGGAGTGCCAGATATGCACTACAAATTCTTTCGATGTCAATGGTGCTGAGTATTTGTCGAGCATGCCTTGTCAGAGCCTCCGAAGGAGGTGAGCATTCACTGATCAGATCTGAACAGAAAGCCGATAATAAACAAACATGCTGGCTTAGCCTCGTCCATTGCAGACTTGGGGCGCAAGTCTTGATTCACATGAGTATGGGCACGCAGAGCTGCAGGAAACTCCATGGTAGGAATCAGGAACGTTCGTAGATGGAGCGAGTACCGGGAAATATTCATGGTGCTTCTACCGGAACCACCGCGTCCCGAGCCGGGCCTTGGCCCAGCTTCTCCCGAAGTGCCGCGAGGGCGAGGGCTGGGCATGACTCCTGCGTGGAGGACCGAGGAGTGCATAAACAGACTTCCCAGCTAAGCTCGTACGGCGTGAGCAGACCCTGCCCTGCCTGCCCTGCCCGGCCGTCGGGGTGCAGATACAGATGCGTGATTCTTGAGGGCCGCACTCCGTGCAAGTGACGTCTGGCGCCGACATCAGACCGAGAAGCTTGCCGCTGTCAAAAGACGTGCATGCGAGACTCTTCCTGGAAACCCTGCCATCTCAGGCTCTGCCGTCATACTTCGTTGCAACTATCAAGTCAAGGTGTGGCACTGTGAATGATGGTTCTTTGAGGCTCAAGTTCTTGGCTGGCGAAATTCGTCGCATCGTTGCTTCTACGAACGCAGTTGCTTCACTCATCGCATTCAAGGCATAACCTCGCCGTGGATTGTCTGCTTTGGACATGAGCTGACAGGAAGGGCCAGAGATGAAACTCGCCAGCTTTAGACATGTGCAATGCGGGATATCCATCTCAACCTGCTAGGCTGCAAAACGAGAAGCCGGTGACTCGCTTTTGCTTTGCTAACGGTCGGTCGCCTACGACAAGATGCCAGACATGACCAGACCAAATCACCAGATGATACTGCTGATCCCCAAACTCACTTCGTTCCTGTTTCTGTAAAACTCCTTCTAAAGCTACATCATCCTGCTGCAGGGTCTTGTCCATGCCACTCTGCGTGAAACGCTCACCGCATCGGCAAGGGCTGATCAGCCTGCAGCGGCGAAAAGTTAGGCTGAAGCTCCACAACACCCCTGGTGTACCCGAAATACACGTAAACGCAGGACGCATTCCACCCCTCATTGTCCAGGCATGTCCAGTCTGAAATAGACCCAATCAGCTTGGAAGTCTCCGTCGCCTTCCCCGTGCCGCCGCCCTCGCCCTCGCTCGGCTTCTCCGCGATTGGAGGTCTCCTAGCACAGACTTGTTCAATTCAAGTTCGGTCAGCCAAACGATATGCGGCGATGCTGCGGGATTTTGCTCTAGTCTCTTGCGGGACCGCGATGTCAAGCCCGTAATGCAAGTTGTGGGTGGGTGGGTGGGTGGGGGCAGAAGCCTGCCGAGCCCCTTCCTGTCGTGTCAACAGATTGCTGTCCTCGGTATGCTGAAATCATGACTCCCTTGTCTTTGCTTTGGACTTGCTGGGAAACACAGGTCTCCCTTGCGCGCTGGACTTGCGACAGTGACGCCCTGTTTCCAGATTGATGGATTTAAGATGATTCAAGCGCGCTCACAACTGCCGATGGCACACGCAGCTTCTGAAGCTTTGCCGTTCCAACTTTGGACGTCTGCTGGCAATCATGCACTTCAGCTGGGCCTCGAGAGGGAATCTCAGAATCCAGTGACACCTGCACCACAGCACTGCCCAGGTGAATCGTCACAGGAAGCCGACAAGAAAGCTGGTACGAAACGGCCCGTTGTTACGTTGTCAAGCTAGCCAAGGCTCAGGCGATCTTCCTTCGGGCAGCTTCACCTTCAAATTGGGCCCCGACTGAGCCGGGCAATGCAGTTCATGACAAGTCTGATGCACATCATTGCTGCAATGATCCTGATACAAGGATTAGTTCTCACTGCTCATGAAAACGTGTGTGAAAACGTGTGCAACATGCCGGCTTCCACCTGTCCATTCCAAGTGGCGAAGTTGCCACCTCGAAAACTTGATCTGCAGGGGGCGGTGGCTTGTAAACGTGTTTGCTAAGGTGCCTGCTAAAGTGCAGCAACGCTCGCAGCATAATCACTTTCAACAGACAACGCCAGTTCGCAATGTCTCATGCCCAAATGCAAACAGGGCTGAGCAATTTGCGGCACTGCCGCAAGGCGCGGAGTAGGGCGGCACCAGGCTCTCGATCTTTCGGAAAGGCTTGGAACTCGTTCAAGTGCAGCTTACAGACAGGTCGCAGACATTTCCATAAGATAGACTGAGTTTGAAGTTGCAGTCACAAGCAACATGCAACATCATGCACTACACACAAACAACAAAAACTGACATGCCACTATAAAGCCACTGACACACACGCGCAAGAATCATCAAAAGTGAGCTGTTCCCGGCTCCTCTCCGCTAGAGCAACAGCGCCGTGCACGCCTCTCGAGCTTGCCGAAACCAGCCTTCGCGGGGAGCGCCGCACCTGAGAGGCTCACAGGGCTTGGAGTTCCCTTGCGCATAGCACGCAAGCTTGAAAGCTTGAGTCGAAGCGAAAAAGCGTGGTCCTGCCTTGGGCGACCGAGATCGCCGAGACCATCTTTGCCAAACCTGCACTTCGACGATCAGCGCAGTTTACACTAATCCAAACACATTCAAACACAAAACAGAGGAAAACTGCAGACACTTGATGTAACACAATTCCTTCCCGCCGCATGTCCTCGTCAACTCGGAAGCTGTCTGGGTTCCTGCCGCAGAACTCGAACAAGGCAGCACCAACTAGCAGCTGGATAACACGCGCAAAGCTGAACCAACATAGTGCAGGTGTAGTGTAGCCAGAAGGAAGGTGACCAGGTCTTCAGAATCCTCAAACCCTCCCAGGACCGCTCGAAGCATCTCGCCGCCATGCCAGCTGCATTATATGATGTGCATTATCACGGAAGCAGGGAGCAGGGAGCCTCATGGGTGAATCTTGACTGCGACCTTGGGAAAGATGCCCTCATTCTCCACGCTTGAATGCTCTCGGTGGCATTCTCAGGAGCCGGCTCCGCGCCACTGGATTCGCTTGTGCTCGCCTCACCAACTCAAACAATGCTTCGAAGCAGGCAATCAAGAAGTCTGCATCACACGCACGGCATCACGAGCGCACCTGAGAGGCGGCGCATCTTTCTCGTCGTAGGACTCACCTGCAGCAGGGCAATTACAGCAACTACTGTACTCTCCCTTTCTCGACCTTCGCCTCTTCTTAGCTTTCTGACAGACAGATGTCTTTCGCAGATTCCACACGGTGAGGAGTCCGGCTCAGCCGCGAACTGTACTCGTAGGAGCTGCTGCCTGGGGGAGGGGGTAACCGCAGGTTGTACTGCCTAGAGGCCTAGAGCACTGAAGAGACGACGATTCTGCAAACGAATGGAAGCCCCCGGCGATGGTCCTCGCGACATCTTTCTCGCGGGATGGACCTTGTCACGACTTCCGCTGCTCTGCGACAGTATATCAACATCAATCATGGCCCGCACTTCACTGCCACTCCCTGCAGTGGACCTACAACTGGACAGCAGAATTTTGAACGCAAAAAGCACCCGCTAACCACCCAATGCAATGGCAACCGGCGACTTCGGACTCAGCCGGCCTGGTGGCAGGGCCGCAGCGCCCGGTGCACTCGCTCTGAGAGGGTCTCCACCAAGGCCTTTCTTGGCGACTCGGGGTTCCCGCAACGGATCTGGGTCGTCCGCACCGTGTCGGAAGTAGCCGTTCGATGCCACGCCGGCATGGTCAAGGCCAAGGTCCTCGTGAGAAGCACCGGAATTTGAAGCCACCTGCGGCTTCGATTCCGCCTTGGGATGCTGGTGAGTGCCGTTCGGCTCCAGGGGCGGCCGCAACAGCTGCCTCTTCTCCGGTCTCGAAAAAATGATTCACCACACAGCCATGACGAATGTAAACCTTCCGTAACAGCATGGATCAACATGATCCATCTGAGTGCACCACTGTGGTGGGTCCGCGGGCGGCAGCGGAGCCACCACAGGCGGTGGTGCTGGTGGCTCCCTGCGTGGGCATATCATATAATCAATCGCATATCGCAATCTCAGTGAGAGGCAACTGCGGGCGTTTCTGGATCTGCCTCGTTGGCTCCTCCACTGCAGGGGCCTGCCAGCTGTCGCTCTTGGTGCCTGACAGCACTCAGTACAGGCTGGTAGGCCAGGACAAGTACTGGAAGGCTCTTTTGAAAAGCTGGCACTCTTCAACAATTCCAAGGGCTCAACGGCTCAAAGTTACCTCCGGACATAGCTGACCTGTGGCAAGATGTGCATGTGCAGACACCAGCATGCACAAGCAGTCATGCACATGGTGGCTTTTCCTCTCGTGAGTCGCCAAAGCGACATGCATGACTGTGTCCGCCGCACAGCTTTTGCACATGCTGTCATGCTAGGCAAAAGCTTTTTCGGAAGGCTTCCGAGGCATCGACCAGGAGGCCTGTGCGGGGGTTGACGTGAGAGAACTGGCATCTTGGGACAAAAGAAGGCCTCTGCCTCCGGACATCAAGACTTCCACGATTGGCCGCGCTCTGCGTGCTCTCATCCCAAATGCTTCCCAAATGAAGCTATGAGTCCGAAGCAGCCCGAGACAGATCTAAGGCAGGCTGGGTCCTGGGTAGGGAGACTGTTTTGCATCCTGCGTCGCTCATTCCGGTGGCCATCTTCACGTCTGCAGCACATCTGCCGCGCCGGACTAACAAAAGAATTGACTTCAAGGACGCGAGACGTCGTTGCTGGAGGGAGTTTGCAACAGTTGGGTTCACTTGTGCAACTTATTCACAGGGTGACTGTCGAGCCTGCGCCGCTCGTTACTGAATCTGTTTGCCGCAAGTCTGACGCAATGTCGGCATTTTTTGCAAACATGGGCCAGGATTCCTGCCGGCAAAAAGAAGGACGTGGAGCAAAGTCTGCAGCTCCTGCTACGAGTCCTAGTGGAGACATTGTGACGTCTGCCCTTTCTGCAGACCTGCAGACATATGTTTCCCTAGATAGCTGAAGCTGCATAACCCCACATCCTTGTTTGTTCAAGCACTTCGCTTCTCCTACTGCTATGCCGGCGCCGACGCCAGCGACCGGACAAGTCGCAGAGGCCGTAGCAAAGCCTAGAGGATGCCATCCATGGTCTGTGAAACCTGCATCACCACCTCCAGTTGGCCTGCTGGGACAGAAAGCGACTGATCTCCTCATCTACGCTGACCTGCACATTCTCTCCCCACGACATATCAGAAAGCTGACTCTGCTCCTTGAGATCCTGGCCGGTCACTGCAGCAAGCTGGAGATCAAGGCCTTCACCTGATTAGTGATGGTTCATGTTTTGCGGCCCTTGTGCCGCCCCGAGGTCTCGAGGCTTCAATAAGTGGAAGCTCGGTGTGCGTTGTCCAATTGCCCTGTATTTAGCATTGACAAAGTTGCAGCTCTCGCTGTGCCTTCATCAGTTTCAGACTCATGCGAAATGCGATGTCGAGCGCCACTACATGAGTCAGGAGGCCAAGTTTGGCCGTTCTAAACGCATGTCTCCCGTTTCCAGTGTTCATTCAATAGCACAGTACCGCGACAGTATATCTTGAAGTCTTCCCATTCTGTACACTTCGCAGCTACTGACATGGATCTTGAGACTCCAGGGGCTAGGACTGCGACGATGTAGGAGAGAAATGCTTGCTTTCACTCGTGGCTCTGCCTCCTCGATGTCCACATGCATCGAGAGGACAGCCTTATCCTCTGTCATTGGGTCCTTCGCCGCGGTCGCAACTGTTCCACAGGAGATAACTCTGCATTGATTTGGGTCTAGGTTGATCCAGAGATCCCAAAATCTTGTGTCTTCCTTGCTTCAGCAATCAGCAGGCTCAACTACCCGGTGCTTTGCAGATTCATCTCGAAAAAGCAACTGAGGCATTGTGACCCCAGACGGTCCGCCGCTAGCTGGTGGTCATACTCGTTCGGCATGACCTGCCGAGACAAAGGTCTAGTACCTGAGCTACATGTGCTGCGAAGCCCTTCTCGATCCAGGTTCGCTCCGGAGAAAGATCCTACGGTCCGCTACCCCTGACCTGCAACATGACTTTTTAGTTTGCACGAGGCATGAACGCTCGTACTGCCTGCAACCCGCCTTGTCACCGACGGGCAGGTACGTGAAATTCAAGGCTGCTGCAAGGTCCCAGAAGTGGTAGTCTTGCATCTTGAAAGGAACCTCGTGGTGTAGGGTTTACCAGGGCAAACGCCATGCCCCAGCCACGTGCCTGAGGGACGATCTCCACAACCTTCATGCCATCCGGTGCGAAGATCATGTTGGCCATGTTGGCGCCATGCGCACCCAATAAGATCTGGCAAGGAAATACCGGCATACGCCGTCTTCGGCAGGCAGCATGACCCGAGTCATTCAGAATTCGCCGCACCAGCCTCCGCTCTGGACAGTGCTTGCAGCGTGTGCAAGAAGTTCTTCGGATCGGGAGTCACAACCTGCGGCCATGCCCGATCATGGACCGCGACGCTTGAGGGCAGTTGCCCGGGGGCACCTCGACAGGTCTCCCCAAGGTCTTCAAAGCCTGCGGGCAGCAGGACGAAGCTTCGCAACATCCATTCCCCCATTCCCGAAGCTCGGTCCCACCTGGACCATTTCATCCTCGTTGCCGAGCGCTCTAGAGCTGTGCCCGCGAGAAAGGACCTCAGCTTGTGCGTTGGCGGATCTCGCAACCGCACACAGGTTCTGTCTCGCAATGCCTGAGACTTTGGCGACAATGTGACCTCGATTCTTCAATCTGCACGGCCTCCACAAGTTGCCAACACGCCAGACCCGGACAATCGTATTGACAGACTTGCAGCTCGCTGTCAACGGCTCCAGTACGAGGTCGCCCCCCACAGCCTACAGTTCCAGCGGCGGGTGCACAGTAGGTGTAGCAGCCCCGAATGCCCCATAGCCCCGAGAATGTGCAGGCCGACGACTCCGAAAAAAAGATTTGATTCTCGAGTCCGAGATGGCCCCTTGACTCCGCGACGGGTCTTACGACAAAGACCTCAGCCTCATTGCCAAAAGCTGTCGCCGCCATGAGGGAGCCCAACACCCAAGGCTTCAGAGAGCCCTCTGCAAGAATCTCCGGTAAAGAACTCTCCAAACCGGGCCTGTTGGATTCATCCATCCAGTCGTCCATTGCTAAAAGGTTTCTCCGAAACTCGGCCAAGTACGGCACCTTGATTGACCATCTTAACACCTGTGATTTGTTTTCATGGCAACGTCGACAGAAGTCGCAGCAAAAATCATGCAAGCTTTTCTTCTGAGGCAGGGACGGAAAACTCGAAGCGCGGGTATTGTGGCCTCGTCAGGATCATTGTCTGAGATGTGCTGTGTCTGCTGTCTGCCGTATGTCCGGCCTGGTGGAGAGGTCAAAATGGATTTCTGGCGCACAGAAGTGGAACGCCTGCACGGCCCACTGGTGTCACAGGATCAACCATGCGATGTTTGGGTGTAAGCCCGCACGACCGACACCCGGGCAGCCGATGTGAGCATGATAGCTACCAACCTGAATCTGTCTCTCGAACGCCTCTGTCAATGAAGTTGGTCGGAGGATGTTGCCCTCCACACCGAGAACTGACCTCATGCCCGTTGGAGTGACAACGAGCTGATTCACCGTTGCAGAGAACTCCTGAGCTCACGGCAGAATTTGCCCAACGAAATTGTGGCCGGCGTGGATGAACAACTGGCCGAGCTCTCAATCAGTGCGTTTGTACGCGAAGCTCAGGTGTGATTGTGCATGGGTATCCCATGTATGCTGCAAAATGCGACAGGCGGCAAAACATAGTCAGTACACAGCCAGAAAGGACTAGCGGTGTACTCTGGGTACACTGCTTGCTTCCCGGTCCCCAACATGGCCAACAACCCAGAGACGTCGGAGTTGCAGCGCGATTTTGGACTGGTTTTGGCTTTTTCTTCCCGACCCCTGACTCGGTCGTGCTTCACTTTGCAGAGTTCAGGGTCCTACAGGTTGCATTCTCAGACAGAGACCCTTGAGCGGTGGAAGCGGACCCGATGCTATGGATAGTTCACGAAGGCTTGCTCTAGAGCTGTTTGGAAGAGACGAAGAAGTGAAGAAAAGAGCCTGAAGATCTGACTGCCGTCCCATGCCGTGTTTCTTGCCTGGTCGCCCCAACAGGGGCGAGCTTGCGCACGTGATTCCGAAAACATGATGGACGCCGCCTCCATGGTGCCGTTCCGCAGCATGTCCAACCGTGGCGCAATGGATGGGAGCGCGCTCACCAACATGTGGTACACGCCGTACCTGCAATCGCTGGCTTGTTGGTCCGGAAGGGGCTGCACATGCCCTCCCAGAAAACTGGTAACTGAGGTGTTTGGAGACTCTTGCGCTTCTGGAATCATCCGGGTCCCACACCACACGTCGAAGGTCAGATGCAACACGGGGAACTCCTTCAGCCATAGCAGCAGCTCACCCCCGTTGCAGCGTTCTCGTTGATTCGACTACTTCTCTGGTGGACAAGCTGTGACAAGCATCTGTGCAGAAGCCCGGTCCCGCTTGGGAAGGCCGACTTTTTGGGAGTGCTCGCGCAGCCGCGTCAAATTGACCTGATTGCTTGCGATTGAAGTTTCGAGCGACAATGGATGGCCTCTTCATTTGAGGGCAGTAGAGTCGAATAATTGAATAGCTCACATGCCACATGGCCACCGATTCGCATAACGAAATCGCGGTGGCTGATCTGCTGCGCACCTGATCGTTGACGACCCGCGGGCAGAACTCTGGCGAGTCCGGGCAAAGCCTCAAGCTTCGCTGCACTCCGAATTGAGAAACCTTAGCTCGAAGACTCCAATCTTTCAGCACCGTGCACATACGTCCGATTGTCTTTTCGTCGGGCGTAGAGGGCCCCATCCTGGCATCTGACTGCATGGTGCGTGAGGCCTACCTTTTTAGACATCGTAAGATGCAGTAAGCCGAGCCTTCTCTCCAGGACCCAAGAAGAAGCATGCATCCTGCGCCACAGCCATGAACACTGTCCCGGAAATCACAATGCAGCGATTCACGAGGCAAGCTCACCCATGATGAGTGTGCTCATATTCATCACCAGCATCCAAGGTATAGTAAAACCAATGCAAAGTCTGAACAACTGCGTCGGCAAAGCTGTCCTTGAGGGATCCGCTAATGACGTGTGGAACTGGCATTCCAAGTGGCGGCCCCCACTTGTCCAAGTGTGGCCTCGTCGCACGTAACACTATCACTGTTACTCCTATTACCAGTACTAGCCAGAAACAGCCTGCTATTGCCGTGACGTGTTCCCATTCTAGTGTGGTTGCTCGATGTGCTCGCCGGATTATTACTCAACTGCAACAGTGGAACACATGTGGTTGTACTCATTGCTAGCTACCGCTTGTATTGAATTGCCATCACCAACACGACCACCAAGACGACGACCACGACTCATAACGACTACTGCTACTGCCGAACATCCTCTTCCTGTGCTACCACTTCTACTACGACTGCGACTACGAACACGACTACCACTACGACTACGACTACTACCACTACGACTACTACCACTGACACTACTACTACCACTACGAGTACGACTACTGCTACTGCTACTGCTACTGCTACTGCTACCGCTACCGCTACCGCTACTACTACTACTACTACTACTACTACGACTACTACGACTACTACCACCACTACCACTACCACTACCACTGTCGGTCACTGCGACTGCTACTGCTGCTGCTCCTGCTCCGGCTGCGGCCACGGCTGTTGCTGCTACTGCTACGGCTACTGTGCTGCTGCTCCTCCTCCTCCTCCTCCTACCCCTACCCCTACTCCTACTCCTACTCCTGCTCCTGCTCCTGCTCCTGCTCCTGCTCCTGCTCCTGCTCCCGCTCCCGCTCCTGCTCCTGCCGCTACCGCTACCGCTACCGCTACCGCTACCGCTACTGCTACTGCTGCGGCTGCTGCTACTGTTACTGCTGCTACTGCTACTGCTACTGCTACTGCTACTGCTACTGCTGCTACTACTGCTGCTACTGCTGCGATAATACTGCTACTACTGCTACTACTGCCTACTACTGCTACTACTGCTACTACTGCTACTACTGCTACTACTGCTACCACTACTACCACTACCACCACTACCACCACTGCTACTACTGCTACTACTGCTACTACTGCTACCACTACTACCACTACCACCACTACCACCACTGCTACTACTGCTACTACTGCTACTACTGCTACTACTGCTACTACTGCTACTACTGCTACTACTGCTACTACTGCTACTACTACTACTACTACTACTACTACTACTACTACTACTACTACTACTACTACTACTACTCGTGACAGTGGACCATCCACTTACGAGAAGCAAATGTGCGGGAACAATTACTTCTAGAGCCGAGACGTAGGCAGGGGCAGCGAAGTGTCAGCTTCAACCAAGCTCCGGACGGCAGCTGAGGGAATGTGTGCCATACCCAGGACGGGTTCCCGTTCCTGTGCATTGGCCGCGCAACGCCGGACATAGGCTTGGCATGTGAACGCTGTTCAGCTACGCCGTACAGCTCAGGCACTGGCAAAGTCACTGTTCCAGGTCTCCATGAGCGTGGCAGTCGCTTCTGAGCCTGAAGCCGACTCACTGATCCACAGCAGACGTCTACCGAACAGCAGAACTTTGCACCGGAGCACTTGATGTATGCCACATGCAACGCCAAGAAATGCAGATCCGACGAATGCAGAGCTCGAAGGCCTGGATCTGAATCTTCGGAGGATCCGGCATTGCCTCCCAGGATGTGGAAGGGACATTTGACGCGACGCTAAAAGAGTTCATCTTGGTACTTCATGTACTTGTCTGGATTTTGGATATCATGCAAAGGGCTCTTTGTTGCTAGCAGGACATGTTTCGTAGACTGCGACCTGCACACTTCTCGCAATCCGCGACGGACATGCATCTTCAACTACAACACTAGAATCACTAGAAGCGTGCTGAGATGAAATGAAGCTATGTAGCAGCTGCAAGCCCTTTGTCATGACGATGGTGCCAGGCCATGCCGTGTCGATAGAAACTCCGACAAGTTCTCAATCCCGACGATGTGGAACAGCCTGCTGAAAAGTGGTAAAACATGTTTTGGAACAGTTGTCCATGAAGGTACCAGGTCCTCAGATTAGTCAAGCCCAAATAACCTTCTTGTGAGAGGAACCGCGAGCCTTCACTAATCACACAGTGACGGTTGAAAAGCTCAAGGTCTGCCCATAATCGGTAAGCCCGGCCTTCCACATCGTAAAAGGCAGCACTGCTGGATCATTCTTTGTTTCTTCAGCAACTCTGTCACCTCCGGTGCAGGGAGTTGATGTTTCAACAACTTAGAAGCCAAACAGCGTGACAATGCTGGCTGCCGGATGAAGTGCAAGGAACACAGAAGGATGCTCAACGGCCTTCTTTCTTGCGGATCTTTAAGACTGATAGATACTCCGTGATGTACTCTTTTGGCACCTGCATGCGAATTGCTCAAGCTGCCCAGTTCGTGTTGTCTGCAACATGCGTGATCCTTTGTTGTTGGACGAGGCCAGATCTAAGGTCGAGGCATAGAGCTTTGGATCAGATGTGAGATGCAGCCTGGAGATGTTGCCCGGAACCAGCACACCGCAGTCCTTGCAGGAGATGTGCGTAGCGTGGGCGATGGTCCTCCCTGCTCTTTTGCTGGGCTTCACACCTTGAGAGGATACTCATCCAGGATATTGCACACGAGGGATGGTGTCCTGGGCAGCTGGAAACGCGGCACCACGTCCAGGGGCCAGCCACAACCGAGGCCAGCACCCGTAGGGGCCAAGCCCGGCCGTCGCGTTGTCCCAAAGGACACGTTGCGAGGGGATCTTGCTCGGCTGTCCTGCGTTGCTCACGGCCTGAGACACCGCGAGAAATTTAGTCTCGCCGCGCAGACTGTCGGAGCCAAGCGGTGCACAAAAATGGCCGGACCCCGAGCCCACACCAACACCTGAATGGAAACGGTCGGACACACGGAGCCACACAGTCAGAGTCTCCGCAGTCTCCGGCCTGGTGGTCCATGTACACGGGAATTGACTTGAAGGCATGCAGTCCGTTCGTGCGCTGCCGGACCCAAAGCACCTCCCAGGTGTCAAAAACATGACTTTCCACCTCGACACGCAGCGACCACTTCCAGCTGCCTTCTTGATGAGCTGGTAGGTCGACGTTGACGTGTTGTAGCCTCACACGTTCGATACACGATTCTACTCCGTGGCGAAGCTTCTTTTGCCCCTATCACCGTGACTCCAAGCATCGCCGGCTACAGCGGGGGTGGGGGTGGGGTGCAATGGGATCAGCCGGCGCAACCAGGCGTCCTGCCGTGATGCCACAAGGGCTGCCTCCAGTTGTCCACCTTCCGGAAAGACAAGTCTCAACCGTTCAATGTGCTTCGTCCTCATCACGGCAGTTCTGATTTCACAAATTGGCTTTTGCTCACGTCACCTTCAGCGGATCTGAGTAATTGAGACCTCGGGGGTCGGAGCTGCTCGCATGAACCGCCACAAAAACTGCAAACATCATGCAGCTAACAACGTTGAACATACTAAAACAGCCCAATATCTGCATACTCTCATATAGAAGCGTGCACGTAAAAACAGTCACCGAAGCCTGAGCGTGGCCGCTACAAAGCCGCTAGATTGCATAGCTTCATGCTGAAACGAGCTCCGAGACCCTGGCGACCACGGGCATTCTGCTCTGAGCCGAAGAGAATCGCTGGCAAGCCCTCCATGCCCATCATCTTGGTGGTCGTGTAGGTCAGGCAGTAGCCACACACGGGCACAGTACGTACTTCGGAAATTTGCAGCGTTTTAAGTTTTGAGGAGCTTGGTAGCACAGGCGAGCTTTGAAAGATCAACTAGCTTGATGTTGCCAAGCATCACCAATGTCATCAAACACGGTATGCACATGCACGCGCCGCAAAGCTCAGCTGCGAACTGCCAGCAAAGCGTTGTGGTACAGCCTTAGCATGCACTGACTGTGTATGTGAGGGAGGAAACCCAAAACCGTGCTGATGGCCGTACTGCTCTCGTCTTAACCACACCTCCAGGCCCCTTGCGCCACCATGGTTGCCTCGGCTACGCCGCCACCCTCGCCGATCCGGTACAAAAAGCGAGGCCTCAAACGATATGGGCAAGTGGGTAGGCGATCATGTGCATATCACAGGTATCTCTACTGCTGGGGGGGCGTGTGCACAGAATATGCGTGCAGGCTGAGGTCAACGTGCTGTTCAAAACTGCTAGCGTGGCTGATAGAGTGCTTCTGAGCTCCGGCTCCCTTTCCTTGTGGGCAATGCAGACTGGCTGAAATTACCAGCGTCTTTGTGACGGCGCACATTGCAGAAGCTTCGTAGATAGTTCTCGAATGGGCGATACTCCCATGTCCAAAAACCTAGCACAGCTACGCAATGCCGACATCAATCGGTCGGGCCTTATTCATGTGACTGGTGTCGCGAAGGATCCTGTCTCAAAGCCGAGATAGGGACAAGTCATTGTTGTCCAGGAAGTTCAGCATCAGTCGGCCCTGCACAGACAACTCCCTGCTTCGCATTATAAGCTTTCCGTATCATGCGTGCCACAGAAACAACAGCAACGCCAGGCTATCCTTATTCAGCATCATCTGATGCGAAAGCTTGATATCACCGTTGTTATCGGGTTTCATCATGGTAGCAAGACTCTTCATACACCTGTTACTCTCAAAGGGAACATGGGGACAACATGCTGAATGTTCCCCGGTCTCGTAACTCCTCCAAACGGTGAGAAGTTGAAACCAACTTGAGCAGTCTCTCCAGCATCCATTGACAACTGTACATTTGAACAGGCCTAAGTGTTTCGCAGATGTAGTCAGACTTGTCCTTCGACTCGCACACTCGCTCAATGCAGGCACGGCTGCTAGAGGTGTCCACCATTGCTACAGTAACCGGTGGACCAGGAAAGATCATTGGGCTGTGAGGATAGTAACAAAGAACCAAATCAAACACAGGATGCACAGCGGCATATAGTAAACATCTGATCTCACCTGATGCCACAACTCGAAAACTGAAAATTCAGACTGCGTAATTCTTGCCCTCTTGAGGTTTGAGGGTCGAACGCATGAAAAGGCTTGCCGAAAACCAACGCCCAAACGCCGGCCTCATGCAAAAGCGATGTACATAATCATCACAACCCGAATACACAGTAACAAGTTTACTGCCAATACTACTACTTCTAATCATAACATCAATGACAATAACAGTACCTGATGCACGTACATCGCAACTTACATGGCAAGGGCTCGCACCAAGCGTACGGAAAGCCTCTGCCTCTGGCCAACGTGAGCCAGCACTGGCTTCAGCCATTCGACCTACTTACATACCCACATAGTTGGATTCTGTATGGAAGAATATAGGGGCCTTACTAATTAGAATAGGGTATTGGGGCTTATACTACAAGTATCATAAAGAATCCCCCCGTCCGCCCCCCCGAAATACAATGGCCAATTATTATACGGCCCCTATATTAATTGGATTCTGTATGCAATACGCTTGCACTTGGTCGAATGATTTGCTCACAGCCGGGCCTGGTCTTGGACCAGGGCCGGCTGCTGTGATCTGAAAAGCCAGACCCACTTGGAAGTTCATGGGTGGTTACAAGTGGGGCGAGAACTCCCTTACTATTCTTCATAATACTAAGTATGGTTACCCTCCACTTATAAGTACCCATGAACCTCCAAGCAATCCTGCACTACCACCTCCTCGTGGGCCGTCTGGCATTATTGCACAAGCCCGCCGGCGGAATCGCCCGCCCTGGGAGCCGGTACAGCCGGGGCGGGCGTGACCGGCCGCTGCGAGGCCCAGGCATTCCAGGCGTTGGCCGGGTCTTCGACCATCCAGCCGTCCGCTGTGATCCGTCTCGTTGGACGAGCTGGAGCTGTGGCCTGCACTGCCTGCACGACGGGAGGAGAGCTCACTAGCAGCGGCTCTTGTCCAGGGCGGCGCTTGCAGAATCGACTGAAGCAAAAACCAATGGCACAGCAGCTTAACAATGCTGCGAACGACATAGCGGCGATGGTGGCGGGGTGCGGATCCCAGGTTCCCGGTGTCACTGGTGGTGATGGTGGTGTTGGTGGTAGTGGCGGCGATGGTGGTGATGGTGATGGTGGTGGTGCTGGCTTCACCTTGGATTGATCCAGAACCGGGTAGACCGGCCGTGTGAGGATCCCACACTCACCTGTGCCATTGACACCCCGTTGGAGACGGCCGAAGCCATCTTCTCCCCACTTGATGCCCCACGAGTTCTTGATAATCCAGTACGGCGTTCCTTGATCGGTTCCGTAGCCGACGAGGAGGACTGCGTGGTTAATCTTGATACCACAGTCTGGACCAATGATTCCACCTGTGTACAGCTGGAGCACCTCACTATCCCCATTGATGCTGACCGCAACCGGCTGTTGGGCCACTGCCTGCATCAGTGCATTCTCGTCGTCGGGATCAACCAGAAACGGCCGAAGCACCCCTCCTGGAGGGATGACCTTGGTACAGCTGGAGGCTTGGCATAACCCTTTCACCGCCTCGTAGCTGTAGTCCTGAGCCCTGCAGAGCCCTTTGTCCTCGATGTATTCAATCGCTCTCTTCGCCCATCCGCCATTGCATCCATGGTTTCCGTAATCTCCGTCAGCACAGTCCAAAAGCTGCTGGGTCGACAGGACGTAGAGTGCTCCGCCGAACACCTTCCAGGCGCCTTCCAGCACACCCGTTGTGGCAAAGGTCCAACAGGAGCCGCATTTCCCCTGATTCTGGACAGCCGACACTGCACCCTCTCTGCGCCAGTCGACCGAACTTGGAGCTGCCGTGGATCGGAGAAGCGAGTGGTCGTTGACTTCTTCCAGGCCTCCCCAAATTTCAGAGATGCTGGCATTCATGTACTTTGCCGACATGCCGTAAGTGGACCGAAACTCATCCGGACTCAGGTCTGCGAAAGGCGTGATTCCCACGGTGTACTCGTGGTTCTCGCTGTTTCTCTTCTTGATCCACGCCAAGCGGTCGCAAAAGATATTCCTCCTTATCTCCTCCTCTTCCGGAGAGTCGTAGTGCTTCTCGAACTTTCGGACGAAAGATCCAAACTCATCTTCGCAAGTCCTTCCTACATCGTCCACCTTCGTTGGCCGCAGGCTCGGAGTGGAGGTCGTGGACGAGGACGCATCCTGCGCCCCGGACACACACACGTGGCAGATGGCCAGGATTGCCGCAACACGCTGCATGGCCGCTCCACGCCCGAGCGGCGAAGTCTGGAAGCTTTGAGAGTTTAACCGACTTGAGCCATAACGACTTGAGACTTGTCTCTGGTGCAAAGTCCATGCGATTACACCCGCCTGCATTGAAGTGTGTTGTTTGCCTTAGCCACAATGCTTACCGTCTCATCTGAGTTACTCAAATTGTCACCATTAAGTACGATCAAGAGTACTCTCTGTTGACACGATGGGATTCCTACTTCTGGCGGCTCCGCAGTGCGCATTTTCGATGCAAGCCCCGTTCTCTCCAAGATCCCTCTCGGGCCGAACTCATTGCACAAAATCCAGTGCTTTGGCACTTCCGAACATGATACATCGAGCTCCCGCCACAGTCCCGTGCTCGAAGTCCTTGATCCCGCTGCAGTCCAAACTTCCACACCGGTCGGCTCCGCGTGGCTTCTTGGTGTTGTCCCACGTTCTACGTTGCTAAGGTGCTTTCGAACATTCTGGTTCGCGTCGTCTTTTCGCCACTGTGCCGTGCGTTTCCGCTTCCCGACATGGCGTCGCGCGAAAAAAGCGAGTTGTCGCCTTGAAAAGTCGTGCTCCCGCTAGCAGTCCCATGCCTCCTAAACCCGCGAGAGTGCCAATCTTGCTCCTCTCCTGGGCAGCTCTTGGGTATTTCGTAGGGCTTGCACTGCTACTAGGTAGGTGCTCTTTCACTGCTTGCAGTCTGCATGGCGAAGTCCGTATACACAGGTGCATACATGTGTGTGTCTGTTATACGTGGGCACAAGCAGCACCTTAATAAACTCTATGTAAGGAGTTAAAGTTAGCTTCTACATTCATCATGGATTGGAGTTGAGAGGAAAATCCGGCCTGGGCCTTGGGCGACTGTTTCACAATCCAATCACCCAGAGCAGACATCGGCTTCTGCTTTGGTCCAGGAACGAAGATGTCCTTCCAGCTAGGGCTTTAAGGCTTCTTCCAAGTTGCACTCGGAAGTGAAGCGAGCCCGTCCTTCAGCACGAAGTAGAGAGGATAGTTGTAGACCGCACCGTAATCTCCAGTAGCATAGCCGGAAACATATGCCATGTCCGTGTTCACCACCTGTAGCCGCCGGTCAAGACACGACAGGCGACACGATCGAAGCCATGGGAAAATGAAAACCAACAGTACGACACCGCCGAAAAAGAACGCTAAACCAGCTCCATTGCCACCGTACCTCTCTGAGAAGAATCGGAGGACGGGTCACCCTTGTGATGGTCGCGGCTTCTGCATCGATCTACCGATACCTCAAACATCGTCCTGGCATGGCCTGAACTTGGCTACAGTCCTCCACAACGTCCGTTTGTCGACATAGCGATCCGAACACTCATGCAGCTGAACACTGATCTCCAGAAAGAATTCTTGGACTGATTAAGTTATTTGCTTGGATAAGGAAATGTGCAAAATGGCTTGGCCAAGAAAGTCTTCGGCCAACAACTTGTAAATGACAAAAAGATACATGGACAATGGAACCCTGAACACGATCGGAATAACCAGGCACAGCCAACATCAGCAAAATCCTGCCAATACCAAAGGCCTCGTAGTATGCCGGAATCGGTGGACCAGTCTCCGGGATGTGGTTCAAGAAATTCCTGTCAAAGCCCAGGCGTCTTCCGTGGGACATAAAGCCCAACCCTTCTCAAGCCACCATGCCTTCTTAAGGCCTTCCTAGCAGGAGTTAAGTGACACAGCCACAGACCCTGCAACTGCTTCACTCTTGCAGTGTCGGTCCTGTTGATGTGCCTTGCAGCATCCACGCGAATACCGTCGAACCCGTATTTGTCCACATGATCTCGCCTCGTCTCTCACACTTCTACTGCCCAGTAACGGGTTGAAACAGCGCCAACAGCACCGACTGAAGCTTGGGTTGGGTAATGTGCATGTTGCACTGTTGCACCTCTCTTGTAGTCCACGGCTGCCGGAAACTGGGGACTCTGGCAGCTGACATGCTGCTAAGCTGCACCCACTGCATCAAGCCCTGCCACACGACGGGGTTCTCGTGGTTGAAGTCCGGCAGCCCGTAGAGCTTGCAGTCTCGGCACCCACGCAGTCGGAATGGCATGAAACTGCAAGGACAGTCACTCCCTGCTTCTTGTTTGGGTCATGTTCAGCTGCTGTCGGCCATTGGACCGCAACACTTGCTTGTCTACCCCACCAGCTGTGACTCAGCCGCTGGCGCTCCAAGAAGTAGGAACCACGCTCGTAGTCGGAGTCGTGGATGAGGCCTCAGGCATGTAAAATTGTGACAGACAGGGCGAGCCCACCAAACCAAAATCAGCTCACAGTATTGTCACACATGGGAAACAGGCTACTGTGCACTGCAATGCCTTGACGGCCAATGAATTTCTAAGAAGTCTGCTGCAGTTGTCCGAGTGATAGTGCTCAGGCTTGTCGAAGGGTTTCAGCAAGGACCTGAAGAATTCATGCGCCGTGGGCAGGCACTTAAACGACAAGCCGACAAGCCCTCTTCAGATCACCAGCCAGAGCCAGTCCGCCAAGTCTGAGCCTGATGCACGTCTCGTGGATTGCTGGCGTTGATCTTCTGGGACCCGGCATGGTTCCTCGATAAAATGATCAACCACCCAGAGCACAGAGAAACAAAAGGTCTGAACACAAATGCTGCCAAGACTCATGTTCACGTCAACGATGACCTTCATCTTCCGCTCATGAAGCAGGATGACCATCTCTCGCACATCTTCCTGCACTCGAGAACACCTACAGTGCTTTGCAGCTCTCTAATCCCGCTGCGATTGTCCTCTGTTCCGTAAGCCGGATTCACCTTCGTGAGATCTTTCGTCCAGTAGCCATGGTATCCGTGCGGCATCTGACCACAAGGCACCAGTCACAAAGACAGCACAGGACGAGAATGCAGTACCACCTCCAGTCTAGCAGTCTGGCAGCCTGGTCTACAATCGGGGAAAGGACGATGCCGTCGACACCCAGCTCCTGTTCGCTTTGCAGATCGAATGGTGCAAGCAGGCGTACAAAGCAAAAGGGGTGAGACCACGCGATGTACATGAGTTCAACACGCTGTCTTCGCTGCAGCATATTGTCCAGCCACCTCAAGATAGCTCACTTTGTCCATGATGCCCGGGATGCTGCCACCGCAATACTCGTTCCTAAGCCCGCACCAGCTTCAAATTCAAGCCAGGGCTGGGACTGTAGCATTCCAGACAAACGGGGCAAGGGCAACTTCTCGCAGTGCTTCGGCTTCGTCGTCGCAAATCGATCGATAAGGATCTGATACATTGCGACCTGGAAGAATCACAACTATGTGCACGTCGGACCGTAGCACTGCGCTGTTCTGCACCTGCGGCCAAGCCCAAGAGCCAGTCGGGAGGTTGTTCCACTCCTGATTGCAGCTCTTCGCAAACAATGAGGGTTTCAACCAAAGTCTCAGCTTCGTAGTCGGAGGTTTCTTGTGTTGTCGTCGGAGGTTTCTTGTGTTGTCTTCTTTGCTTCAAGGGGTCGTGACAGTGACACATTCGATACTTCAGTTCCTTCTTACTCTTACTTGGGCCAACAGTGCCAAGACCTCCCTTCCGTTGGCGGGAGTCGGGTATGCATGGCCATGCACTAACCGCTTGCTGAAGAAGCCTTCGCTGCACTCCCTGACAGCAGTAGGCGTGCCCAGACAGACGCATGAACCGTCCTGCTGGGAGGTGTTGTCTGGCATGTCCCACCTCAGCCGCCGTCGTGGACTCGTGCAAGTCTGCATCTGCGATACGATCTGTTCCTGAGGCTCTTGATTCCTGGGCCTTCAGTGAAAACTCCGCAGAAGACATCTCAAAGAACCGCGACTGCCTGTTTCCCTGAGAGAGTTGCACGCTGCGGGTAAGAGCTCCGAGACGGGAGGCTTCCTGGAAGAAGGCTTTCAAGCTGCCGGTGGCTTGGTCGGAATACAATCAAAAAGCCTAACGCCCTTCCGCAGGTAATCGGAGTCAAACACACCTATTACGCACTGAATCAATGAAGATCTTCGCAAATCGATCGTCGGCCCGCTCTTGTAAACGCGGACACGGGAGCCTGACTGACAACAGACGTACTTGAGACAGCAGGAAACAATGACAGCCCGAGGCTCCAGACAAAACAAGTCAGCCAACAGGACCAACCTACCCCAGGACAGCCGCCGCTCCTGGATGTCCGGCTCATCTTTGTCCTCGTAAGGATGCAGTGATCCTAATCATCAACAGATTGCATTGCTGAAAGAACAGAAACCCCCACACACTATGCAAACCAACATCTTCGTCACCCGACATATTATGAACGAGTTCAGTGGAGTTTCCAAAGAAAAACGGCTGGAGTCTTCTGAACAGCAGGGGCTCATAGAACAGCTCAACCATGCTCAAGCACCCGCTTGCCTTGATGTAGGTCTGATTGAAGAGCTTCTTGTTACATGCGATCTCGTTGGTGCCGCAATACTTGCCGCACCTGAGACGCTCTGGAGCGCTACAGTTCTGGACAGCTGGAGCCAAAAACCATGCTCTCAATGTTGCTACTTGTCTCGATCCGAGAACCCAGCCATTGGCACTGGTTTCGATGCGCGTTGCAGGCATCTTAGCCAAATCGGACGGAGTGGGAAGTGAAAACGCTTACTTGACCAAGCTAGATCTGAGTGCTACTCTTCAAACTTCCTGCCTGTCTACCGGAAAGGATTTCACGACTGATCGCCTGCACGATGTGTTCGTATGACTGCAAACCGTGCAACTCAGACTTTTGGATGCATCGGACTTCTTTCCGATGCACTCGAGGCCCATCGACAGGACGACAGTTTGAGACTCGAGATCGCGGCTGGCATCTTCATGGCGAATACAGCTGTCCACCTGCGTGCTAGGGGGCTTAGCACTGTCCAACCTCCTCGTTCAAAGAAGCAGGGCCAGACCAGCCTGCATGTGGTAGAATTGCCAAACGAGGACCGTGTGCCATTCCTGCCCCAACACACCCGGACAGCCGCACAGCTCTGACTTCGAGGATTCGGCAGACGGAACGACAAAGCTGATGCCGACACCGACGGACCGTCTCGGATTGGGCTCTCGTTCTCTCTTGCTTGCTTGTTGAGGGGTCTAGGGCCTCGAAAGACCCTTGGCCCGAAGGCCTACCCCCACAACGGCCTGCACACAGTCTGTCGGAGGGGCCCCGATTCGAGGCGGAAAGAGGCGTTCCCCCAAATGCACAATGAATGACCCGGCCCCCCAAACGAGATCTAAGACCATCAAATTGTGCCGATTCGGGTCATCCGCGCTCTTTCATCAAGGCTAGTGGTGGGATCGCAGCAGGCAGCAGTGCTTCTTCCCCAAACACAGTCAAGGCACCAAATATAGCATTCATCCCCCGCATTGCACTGCTGCCCCCCTTTTTTCAGTGCAACCACTGGGAGCTCCACAATCCGCCGTGTCTTGCAGCTGTCCGCGCACCAGAGGCATGCACAACACTACAAGCCTAAGTGTCCGGCCCTGAGCCTACAATTGCGGTACCTCTCGTGCTGTTTGGCTCGGTGTCCTGCTGCGGGCTCTGTACCCCCGAGCAGCGCTTCATGTGCGGGGTTTACCTGCCTCCCCACCTCTCTCTCTCTCTCTCTCTCGCTCTCTCTCTCTGTCTCTCTCCTGGGCTTGAGGGCCGGTCAAGGCCCCCGGGCTTCAAGCCCACCCGATGTTTTATCGGGTCCAGAGGCGTGACAAACGAGTGTAGGCCAAATCAGGGCTCGTGCCATAAACTTTGCGATAACGAAGGTGTTTGGCCGTACCCTCTCCAAGACACATGCGTACTAGGTTTATTCCCCGAAAATTGGCTTTCACAACAGACCTATTTTGACACCGAGTACCTTTCCAACTTCGGGAGCGAACGTTCTAGTGTACTGTAGCACATATCCGCTTCGTTCAGCAGGCCAGACCGACATGGGTTTCTCGAACAAAGGTTACAACAAACAGCCTCAGGGATAAGTGGAACTACATCATTCCCCCGGTCTCCCCTGCATGTCGGGTTCCCGCTCTTTGGGATCACAATTCACTATAGGCGCTTGGCAGTTTGTTTGTAGCACTGGTAAGTAAAAGGCAATAGCATCTTAAGGATGACAGTGTAGAGTATGCGCCTCGAATCGTGATGAGGGGATTTCCCCCTGCTTGCAAGCATTCGATCGCAAAAGAATCGATCGGTGCCAATGTCTTCACCACTACGACCTTGAAGGTGGAGCTACTGCAAAGCACACAGGACGCAAGTGAAGATGGTCGTACGTTGACCGCGGTCTAGGTGGCTCTCAACTGCAACCGTTTTTGCCAAAAGCAACATCCACTTTCTTCTCCCCACGCCTCTCTCTCTCTCTCTCTCTGCCAGGTAGTCTCTTCTTCAACTCGGCCAGGGGAGCGTCGCGCAAGCTCAGCCCCCCGGCCAGGTAATCTCTCTCTCTCTCTCTCTTGCTTGCACTCAGTCAAGGAGAGGCGGACCCCTCCCACGCGCGCGCCCGCACTGGTCTCGGTTCGAGTTGTGAGACCCCCCATCTGTTGGAAAGGTGCACTGGCCGGGTCAGTTGTACCCCCGACCCTGTACTTTAGCCTATGGACCCCCGGCCTCGTGCCTCCTCCCACTGGGGCTGTTCTACTTCGCACCGTGCCCAAAAGCGCCGGTTGGCTATGTTTGCTCCGGTCGCGGGCTTTGAAACAACGCATCGGTCCCCCTTTCTCTCTCTCTCTCTCTCTCTCTCTCTTGCTTGCTTGCTTGCTTGATTGCTTGCGAAGGGGTATGGGTGCACGCACCCCCTCTCTCTCTCTCTGTCTCTCTCTCTCTTGCTTGCACTCGGACAAGGCGCCGTGGCGCCCTCTCTCTCTCTCTCTCTCTCTCTCTCTCTCTCTCTCTCTCTCTTCTTCTCCCAGGCTTACAGGGCGAGTTAAGCCCCCGGGCACTGAGGCCCGCCCGCCTTTTACGGGCTCTAAGAGGGGAGTGAAGGTTTGATGATGTGTAGACCGAAATGGCAGGCAATTAGATTATTACGACTATGTGTTTTTCGGCCTTGCATCAAAGTTCCAGGACACCCGAGTTGCGCAAGCGTCGCCAAGTACGCCGGTAGTATGATATCAGCAAGTGAAAGATGTTTGCTTGTGGGTGTAGCTGCACTATGCGTGTTGTTGGGAGGCGAACATTGCTTTTCTCGGAAAAGGTCCCCCGGGGATCGCAGAGTAGGCCGGTCGGTGATGAGGTTGCTTCCGGCAGAAAAACGACAACCACGGGCTACTAAAAGGTTTGCACTCGGAAGCTTTTCCTCATCCCCCGGTATCATCTAGGTCAGTGCGTACAGAAACTGAGTTCCACGCCGCGCCCCGCAAGGCAAAGCAAAAGAGGGACAACGAAAGCGGCAGCAATCGACAAGGTGAGCTAACAAGGTACCACACAAAGGAGTCACAGCAGGTTGCATGTCGTAACTCTCTCTCTCTCTCGCTCTGTCTCTCTTCTACGTCGATTCCTCGTTGCTGCTGCACTTTCCTGGGAAGCACATCTTCAGGTTCCTCGGCGGTGCAGCTCAAATTCGGCAACGCACTAGTAATAGCCCACTGCATGTGAAGGACCTCAACCTCTCTTGGAACCTGGCGGAGGCTTGCCAGTCCACGAACAGGAGTGCAGCACATTGTAACCTCATCATGGTTTGTCCTACCGGCCACTGCAGAGTGGCACATAGTGGCACCCTGATATCCCTGATGTTTGTCGTCGGTCGCTGGCACAACACAACTGACTGTCCAGCACGCCTGTAGATTCCCAGCCGATGTTGTGCAGCATGCCGCCGCCCACCTCTGTCGAGTTCCGGCTGACGAACAAGTGACTGACCCCTGACGATGACAGCCCGAACCTAAACCTTGGCGCCCTGCACACGAGTTCCACTTCTTGTCCAAGAACCTCTGCTGAGACGTCAGTAGTCGCCAAGTCAAGTGGCTTTTTGCAGGCCAGGAAGCTGCAGCTTCATCTTGAACTTCTTGTTCTTGCAGTACTGGGTCAGGAAAGACCTGCCAGGATGGCGGCAGCTCGTTCCCAGTCTGTCAGTTCGCCAAGGTCGTGGCTGCTCCGGCATGGCGAAGTGATGCTGCTCGTCTGCCAGAACCTTCAAGCGGCCGAGCTCGGATGGAAGTTTGCTCTGCCGGATACTGTATGCAGTGGAGTTGAATCACATGACAGAGACAAGTGCCCCAAGTGCAGCAATTGGCGAGTCTTTGCGGTGTCTCCAAGAGAACCCAACCCGTTCTTTTCACCGGGACTGACCACCCAGCCTGCAGGATGTGTGCCAAGCGTTGTGACGAAGGAGTGACCACCATGACACCTGGCGCAAATCCCCACTCACCACTCTCTATGTCGGGGCAGAGTGCCAAGGCCGGCCTGCATTCATGAACCGCGAGTCGCCATCGCCTGAAGGAAGCGAAACCGAACCCACATGACTGCCGCAATTCGTCAATGCCCGACAGATTCCACACACGGTGCCAGACAAACCAGTAGACGCATGATTTGTCGGCCCTTGATATCCCCCAGCCAAAGGGCTCTTAGTGAGGAGTGTCATGGGCGAGAGTTCATGTCAAACTCATCAGGCCATTGACCACTGTTTCATGTCAAGTTGTCAAGCCGGGGACCGCGCGCACTGCGCAGATCGGAGCGCTGCATTCCGAGAAAATTTTCCCGGGACCTAAGGGCACGCACGTGCCACCACGAGCGTCTTCAGTCTAGAGGCTACACTCCCCTAGATATGCTTCATGACAAATCAAAGTACAAAATCTTCACGCACACATCGCACATGGAACCATGGTCAACACAGTCATTGCGTGTCCACTCACTTCGAGGATGCAAATGCCGCTGTCAACATCAACCAGCCCTCTCTCTACAAAAGGCACGTACAGAGCCAGAACAAAGGCACAGCATTAGCAGGCAGACCGCATGATAAGGCGACAGCTTTCTGCATCGACATCGAACACCATGTCTGTGTCCATCAACGCCACCTGGGAGTACTCGGTCATTCGCCAAACCTGGGTCAGTGTGTGTGGAACTTGAGCTGAGCTCCACCATTCACACACAGTCTGAACAGAACCCGCTCGAACAACTTCATTTTTCCGGGATCCCGTGATTCGTGAAGATACGAGGCAGATCTAGGCAGTGGGTGACAAAGGTGGCACGAGAAAATGAGCGCCATGCTGCGAATTTGTTCATGACGCCGCTCCACCGCTGGTGGATTACCTTGCGCAAGCCCAGAGTGGCCCAAAGCTTGTCGAAGCTAGGCTTGGAGCTTCCGCACTAAGGTCGGCCACAGCACAGGGTCCGAATCCATCACTGCAGGCATGGGGATTGGATCCGTGTAGTAAATCTTGACCTTAGCTGCACTGCCCTCAAGGACCTCCGACATGCCTCTTCGCCCAAGCTCCCTGAAGGCACCCGGACCCCATCGCGCACCAGGATCTCCAAATGCTGCTTTGGAGTCTTGTCCTCGGACATCGCCCACTCCCAAACTGCAAGTTAAGCCGAGAGGTGTGCACAGTTTTGGCAGGGGACGACCATGTTCTTGGGCACGATCGCCAGGATGTCCTGGCAAGTCACCAGTCTATTTCTCTGTCCGTGTCTGACCACGAACAAAACTGGAGCCACGTTCTTCTGAGGGACCCCACGGGCCTGGTTTGCCCCTGCTGCTCTCATCGACTTCACAAGAACTCGAACCTTGGTTGCTGCAAGTCTGCAGCTACAATCGTTGAAACGCATAAATGTGCGAACGGGTTCCCTCCGGCTTTACCGTCTCGGTCAGGCTGCTGAGATCAGGTTCTCAGAGCTGTTCCCATAGAAGAGGAAGGCGAAAGCCTGGCAAGGGGTGAGTGTAAGAACCGCTAAAGCCTGAACAGGCCTGCATCGGCCTCAGGCTTCAGCTACCTCGAAACCCTGCAGGCAACCCTTCATCTGCAGATTGCAGCAGCCTTCGGCACACAATTACACTAGCCTGAGTGCACACCTCTCTGACTTGAGTGGAGCACCTTTTCGCAACGCACCCAAAGCATCAGCAGGTCAGCCCGAAACCTGACACCCTGCAATGAGCTCGAATTCGACCGTAGCAGGGCGCCTCGGTCGATTTGTCGCAGAGGTCTCCACCTCAGCTGGGGATATTTCAGGGGTCTGAGATTCAGCTGGGCAATCACGCGCAGAGCCATCTCACACACGATAGGCCCAGCAAGCTGGTATTTAATAGCGGTCCTTCCAGTGACAGCTTTGAACGCGTGTAATTACACGTGCTGCCGGTGGCCGGGAGAACTAAGCCGCTGCAGCACAAATGGCAAAGACCTCGCTGTCACTACACGTTCGGAAGATCAGTCTGAGAGCATGGCCGACACCGAAGTCGCAGGTGCACTTTCCCCAGCGACAGGTCCCCCGGCCACACCTGCAAATCGCGCATCTCAGATGAATCGCATCACACGTACCGAAATCCCTGATATAGACTTGCTCTCTTCGCACGAGCTCCCCACGACATCGATTCACAGAGGGTGTCATTCCTTAGAGAAGTGCACACAGACGGACCTTGCCGGTATTTAGTAGAACTGGCCCTTTAGGGAAGGCGCCGGCCAAAGGTATTGGAAGCAATTGCGAAATCCGAACCCACCCGAAACCACGATTCGCAGAGAGAGCATCTAGGCAGCTTTGAAGGTGCAGTTTGGGATGCACACACCTGCTGGACATTGCAAATTTGCCAAAGGGCTTGCAGCTGCCATCCAGCGATCCGGCGGAACGGAAGCAGATGGAGTTCCCAATCTCGGAACGGGGTCTTCTGGTTTGTGCTGATCGGAACTTTCTACGACCCTGTCACCCTGTGATTGAGAAACGCGGACTGTTCGATGCTTCCGAGGTCCCTGCGTAGGTGGGTTCTCCACTTTCTCCCTTGGCATGGCTGATGGTCTTGCACTGCTCATCCTGCCAAGCTTTGAGCTCAGGTTCGAGTCAGTGCACAGTTTCAATTCCACATTTGGCAAACAAAACGCTCCCCGGCGGGGTATCAACAAAGTGGCAATTGCTCGTTGGAGAGCACATCATGAGGCCACCTCTCGGCAGTAGCCAGGCCACTTCTTCATGCACTGGCCTTTCACCTTGCCGCAAAAATCCAACATTGCCTGAGTCTGCGCACAACTCCAAGGCTGCTTGGTAGCCTCCCATCCTTTCGCATTGTGCGTGTCGATCTCGGTGCCAGCTTTGCCTTAGACACACGGTCCAGAAATACCGCTCTCTGACGGAGGCTGCAGTTCTGCTTTGGCTTATGTGGCAAGCTCAGGAGCTGGCAGAACAATGGGCAGTATGCTGCCTCATCCGCATCCTGTCACAGGCTGCATACAGTCTAGTCATTCTGGTCGTCCTGTAGATGCATCGGGCCTCAGAGCAGCAATCCTCCTCTGACCTCAGGGTCGACTGGCGCACAGACACAAACCATCATGCTAGCGACCGCTCTTGGTTCGATTCGCTGGCCGAGCTCGTCACCAGCAAACGCCTCCCTCACCCGACACTACCTTTTTCGGGATGGCGGAGGCAGCATGAGCCTGCAGCACTATTTCGACGTTAGCAAGGTCAAGACACTTCAAGAGGCATTCCACGGACGGCAGCACATCTATGTACTTCGTCTGACTCGCGCAGTTTCCAAGCCTGGGGGTTACCCGCCCCCACCAAAAATTACCACTCGTTCTCAAACTGTTGGTCACGGCCTCCATATGGATCATCTCGTGCTGCACCTGCTAGCAGCAGCAAATCAACAAATGCAGTAGCAGTGGCAGTGCAGCTTTGGGTCGACGCTCCAAATGGAAGTCCTCACCTTGGTCTGCAGCAGCTGGAAGTCCATCGCCGCCAGCTCGTCTGCTTCCGCGAGCTCCACATCGGCCTGAACTTCAGATCTTCTGCGGATCTTCCGCTTCAGGATTTGCGTGCGGCCTCGGAAGTCGCCCGACATTCGCCGGAGGGGCAGATGCCACCTCGGCCAGGGCTCGTCACGCCTTGCCTTGTTCTTGCCATGCATTCCTCGACGATGTAGCAATGACAGAGGGGAGGTGTCTTATCGTCAGAGCATATTGATAACTGGTTTGTTCACACGTACGTGTGAAAAAAACAGTTGTCAACCTTCTCTTGAGCTGCAGTCCATATCGAAGGAAACCTGATTCCCAGAAGGTTTAGGGAAGAGGTGACGGAGTCCAAGGGATCCTTGCTGGCCTGCTAAAAGAACTGGAGAATCTGTGCTCCTAACAACGGAGCCAACCCACCACAACCCAGACTGCAACAAGATCTGTGTCATAGCCATGTCAATGTCTCGTGTCACACGAGCTAGTCTCGTCTGCACTCGGCTTTGAAGGAAACCTGATTCCCAGAAGCTTTAGGGAAGAGGTGACGAAGTCCGAGGGATCCTTGCTGGCCTGCTAAAAGAACCTGCGCAGGTGGGACAGTCTGCGAGGTCTTTGGGTGCAGGCCTGGAGCATCTGTGCTCCTAACAACGGAGCCAACCCACCACAACCCAGACTGCAACAAGATCTGTGTCATAGCCATGTCAATGTCTCGTGTCACACGAGCTAGTCACAGCTAGTCTCGTCTGCACTCGGCTTTGAAGGAAACCTGATTCCCAGAAGGTTTAGGGAAGAGGTGACGGAGTCCGAGGGATCCTTGCTGGCCTGCTAAAAGAACCTGCGCAGGTGGGACAGTCTGCGAGGTCTTTGGGTGCAGGCCTGGAGAATCTGTGCTCCTAACAACGGAGCCAACCCACCACAATTCAGACTGCAACAAGATCTGTGTCATAGCCATGTCAATGTCTCGTGTCACACGAGCTAGTCACAGCTAGTCTCGTCTGCACTCGGCTTTGAAGGAAACCTGATTCCCAGAAGCTTTAGGGAAGAGGTGACGGAGTCCGAGGGATCCTTGCTGGCCTGCTAAAAGAACCTGCGCAGGTTGGATGGTCTGCGAGGTCTTTGGGTGCAGGCCTGGAGAATCTGTGCTCCTAACAACGGAGCGAACCCACCACAACCCAGACTGCAAGCGTCATAGCCATGTCAATGTCTCGTGTCACACGAGCTAGTCTCGTCTGCACTCGGCTTTGAAGCCAGAAGGCTTATGGAAGAGGTAACGTCCTTGCTGGCCTGCTAAAAGAACCTGGAGAATTTGTGCTCCTAACAACGGAGCCAAGCCACCACAACCCAAACTGCAACAAGATCTGCGTCATAGCCATGTCAATGTCTCGTGTCACACGAGCTAGTCACAGCTAGTCTCGTCTGCACTCGGCTTTGAAGGAAACCTGATTCCCAGAAGGTTTAGGGAAGAGGTGACGGAGTCCGAGGGATCCTTGCTGGCCTGCTAAAAGAACCTGCGCAGGTGGGACAGTCTGCGAGGTCTTTGGGTGCAGGCCTGGAGCATCTGTGCTCCTAACAACGGAGCCAACCCTGCAACAAGATCTGTGTCATAGCCATGTCAATGTCTCGTGTCACACGAGCTAGTCTCGTCTGCACTCGGCTTTGAAGGAAACCTGATTCCCAGAAGGTTTAGGGAAGAGGTGACGGAGTCCGAGGGATCCTTGCTGGCCTGCTAAAAGAACCTGCGCAGGTTGGATGGCCTGCGAGGTCTTTGGGTGCAGGCCTGGAGAATCTGTGCTCCTGACAACGGAGCCCAGCCACCAAGACCCAAACTGTTCAAGCTTTGGCAAGATCTTCTGCGAAGCCATGTCTCATGCCTCGCCTTCTTGTGACTGTGGCTTGCAGAACCAGGCTTGTTTATGCCACACCGCTTCTGAGCATAGTGCAGCAGTGCTGACAGGGCAAAGCATCAAAGGTCTTGCACTCATCTCGAATCCACGCAAAGGTCCCGGCTCGCCACGTTGGCCTCACATGACGCTGCTTCAGGACAACACAGAAGCAGCTAAAACCACTCTCGACATCCCGCTGCCTATGCTGCAGGGGGAGGGTGGGGACAGCCGGATAGTTCTGTGCAGGGTAAGCGTCGGACTATCAAAAGTTGGAGAAGAAGTTGCATATGTAATCTGCCTGCGGCCCATGACTCAAAAGACTGGACATGCGGGCACGGCATGCAACCGCAAGTGCCAAGACCTGTCATCGAAACACAAACACACAGAGACACAAACGCAAACAAACACAGCATGACCCAAGTTGAAGCGGTGCGGTTGGAGCCTGGCCTTGCATTTTCATTGAGAAGCAAGTGCACCTTGCTCCAGGGAATGAGTTCGAACTCGGACATGCCACTTTGAACCAATCAGCCGAGGTGCTGAGGGATGAGATTTCCCCTCAGGACCCCCGCTGTAGAACCAAAGCCGGCAGCGGCGAAAACTGCTGCAGAGACGCAGAACAGCATGAAACCCCTCTAAAGTCTCTACAGTACATGTTCCGTGAGATCTCGGAACTCAAATTGCAACATGCGCTTCGAAGATAAAGCTGCAGGCCTGCATTGTAAAAGAGTCTGCACTATGGGTATCTATTGTGAAGTCAGTCTCTGAACCTGGAATGCAAATATCCAAGCCCCGGCCACAAGAGGGTGGGGAAGCGGCGCTGACCTTTGCACCATCGGTGGGGCACCTGCAAGCACGAAAGAGGCAAAGGCTGCGCAGTTGCACCAGGCACCATCCTGGTCATGCTGGCCTGAATGCGGACGCATGATGCTGGGCAGCTTCTGCGGCTGCAGGAGCTGGGCCTAAGTGGCGCAGAAGTGTGTAGGACGTGCATGGCACGCGCAAAGTGCACAGTCTTCGCCTCGATCGACTTCACGACGTCGCTCGGAGTCGGTCTCGAGGCGGCCTGAGACCCAGAGGCGCAGCGGAGCGCAGGCAGAGAGCGCGCCTCCTTTTTCTCCAAAGGTTCTTCCTTGAGGCAGGGCTTTAAAGGCCGCGGCTGGTCCCAACATCCGACAGTGTACGTGGGGATCCAGCCCTTGGAGAGGAGAGATCGTAGGACGTGAAGACAATCTAGAGCTGGAAGTCTTGCCGAGGCCGGGGCCAAGCATGCTGGTGTCAATCACCATCGCCTGAACACTGCTCGGAGCTTCTCTGAATTCTGCTGTCCCTTTCTACCTGCACTGCTTGACATACGAGTCCCAAGCGATTTCAGGAAACAGAGGGGCCCTCATGTCCAATGTATGCCAAGCAGAGCACGGCGCCTCCACCGCCTTCAAATCTTTCCCGGCACCAGCGTGCTCCATCTCGCTGAGGCGCTGGCGCGCCTTGGCGTTCGCTCCCACGTCCCCAAAGGCGCAACAACTAAGCAGCCGGCAGGGAAGGCATCGAGCTATAAACCACAGGCCTCCGTTCGTCCGATGGTCAAGTGCAGCGCGAGAACCCCCAAGGAGAACATGTCGAAGGAGTGAACCTCCGATGCGAACATGCGAAGCATCTGATCTGAAGCCAGGAGTGAGGATCGAGCTGGCTTCTCAAAGTTCAGCGGTGGGCCAAGGCCTCAGAAAGCAGGGCCGAAGAGTCAGGCAATCAATGTTTGCAAGGGCTGACTCGACACAAATGGCTGCAAATCGGAACAGCGTGGTTTGAAGGCCCGTCCAGGTCTCGCGGTGCCTAGGTACCGGCCATCAGCCGCATTCCGGACCTCCCATGGGAGCCTGTCAGTGAATGCTGGGCAAGTTTGCCCAGCTCGTTCCTACGATTTCACAACATTCGTCCACGGCGCGCTCTGGCTGATCGCCGACTCTCTGAGAATTGCACCAGTCGTATCGCCGGCGCTTCTCTTCGGTCTCGCCGCGCTTGCGGAATGCCTTCGCCGGGCGCGAGTGCGAGACCAAAAGACTAGACACTTCATCCAGGCCAAGGTGTGCCTGGACGGCATCGTTTGTGTTGGACCTCGTTCCGATGGTGAAATCCGTGCGGGGACATCGGGAATGCACCCCACGAGAAATGAGCTCTGGGGATGCGGCTGCTGCCAATCTTCGTCCGTGATCATGACGCCGAGGTCCAAGACCTATTGCAATTGCGACACATCCCATGCAGTCTCCAGCAGAGACATTCACTCTTCCGCCCGTAAGACAGGCAGAGCTCCTTTCCTGCCGCCATGCACAATAAGTAACAAATAGGCAACAGCTTATCCTCGATAAGAGTCACCACTGGGTCGCTGCATTCAGCAGCTTCCCGGACTGATGCGATCAGGATTCTAATTCCGCTTTTTAAAAAAAGACGGAGGAGGCGGCCGAGGGGCGATGCGCATCGCCTCAAAGGAAAGGCCAAGGCTTGCCGGTGATGACCGCTTGGGTCACAATGCCACTAAAGGCGAACATGGCAAGGCGTCCGTTCTCGAGCTCTTTCAGTCGCATGTCCTTCTCTTTGGCAGGATCCTTTGGCAGGAACTGCTTGCCTAGCCAATAGTCCCCTGCTTCACGGTTGATGCCATCACCAATCGGCCAGGACTGGAAGAAAAGCCAGAGGGAGAACAGCTCGAAGGTGCCGACGGCGCCTAGGAAGGGCAGCATGTAGCCGGCCTCAACCATCTTGTCGTGGGCCTCGATGCTGTTGGCCACGCTCTGGAACTTCTCGCCTGGGAATCTGGCACCCAGGTCTGTCGCAATCCATCCAACGGTCGCAAGCATGCAAATCCGTCCATGCTTCAGTTCAGCCTCACGCACCCAGTAGACAGGAAGTGCGTCGGTCACGCCAAGAGGATCGAAACCTTTCTCCTCGCCGACCCAGCCTTTGAGGACCTGAGGATACCGCAAGAAAGGGACAGAAGGAGACATTTCCATCTCCTTGGGGTAGGTCTCGTTCTCCACCCAAACACCCTCGGACAACTTCTGCACGGCTTGCATGCTGGTTCGGCCACGAGGAAGGGCACACAGGCCTCCGTTGTTCACGTAGCTGCCGGCAAAGGACTGGCAGTTCGCAATGTGTGAGACTACGAACTGCACCGGCTCACCCCAGAAGCCGTACTTGTTCATGTAGCTCAAGGGTGCTTCGCCGAAGGTGCCATCCTGCCACATGAGGCCCAAAATCGCAACCATGGCTAACCGACCGTTGTTGCGCTCAGAGGTCTGCTTGCGCTCCAGCTCCTCCTCATCGATGCCATCCAAAAGCTCCGTTCCAAGGCCGAAATCGAAGCTGCCCAGCCCACCCTCACGAGGCTTCACCAGCACCTCGTGGGCCCCAACCAACGCAAGCAGCTGGATCCAGCCTTCCAGGGGGATGCTCTCAAATGCTGCAAGCCCATGCTTGAAGTCCTCGCAGCCTGGGAAGCGGAAGATTTCTGGCATTATATAGCCGACAGTTGCAATCATTGCAACTCTACCATGCTTGATCTCCACCGCCGTGTATCGCTCCATCTTCGCATCTGTGCTGCCAAGGTCAAGCGGGTCAAACTTGTCCGTGAGCGGCAAGCACACGCCGACGACATTGCGATCCACTCGGCGCGGGGCGGGCCGTGCACGGAAGGCCGTTGCACCGGCCACCACTGCAGCGGTTGCCAAGCCTGCGGTGGCCCAAGCGCCGGACACGCCGGAGGCCGAGGCCGAGGCGGAGGCCGGTACCGAAGCCGGGGCCGGGTTCCTCGAGGCCCTCAAGCTGCCGGTCTGGGCTTGGCCCGCTGGCACAAAAGCCATGGCGGGTGCGGCACACGCGGCCAAGGCAGCCGCAGATGCCCAAGTGCTAGGAGCCATGGTCGCGACTTATCACGTCCTCGAGTCCTTCGCCCGACCTAGCCTGGCCTAGCCCCGATCCTGAGCCGAGGCAAGATCAAGTGGCAGTGATCAATCCAGAAATGGCTAATTAATGCTGCTTGGTCTTGGCATACTTCGTCCACTCATTGCATTGCATTGCTTCATCCCGTCCTCCCGTCCCATCCAGCCTTTAGCTTGCAAGGGCTGCTCTCTGTCGCGCGCTCGGCCAGGTGCATGTTGCCTTCTGCGTTGCCACGCTGCCATGTCTCACGGCAACTTGTCAAAATGATCTCAGCTCGGAACAGCCCCGGAAGTCTCGGTGTATCAAGCCGAAGGTTGCCAGATACCTGGATCCAGACACACTGATCGTCTACCTCTTCAGACAGACCGGAAGAGCTACCTTGCGGTATCACATGAAAGCTTTTCGACATCGCGTCGCTGTGGACACGCTATTCAGTGTTGGTTCAACCATGTGCAAACTCGCCTAGCACAAAAACCCCAGCTCCACCAATTACCCAGGGCACTCAAGGGCTCGTGCTGCCTGGAGCAGCACCTGCACTCACAACGACACATCGAGAATCGCAGCAGGCAAGGCAAAACAGCCCCTTGCACCTGGCGCTTCTCGTGAACGGACATGGGTGGTGGATCCTGACAACGCCGATAATGCAAACTACTGCGATAACAACACGGGCATGAGCTGATGGTGCTCAGGGAAACGTCCTTTGTAGCATGGCTGGATGGAGTCCGCCTGAAACAGCCGGAAAGTACAAACGATTCGTCTGCTTGCAGCAAACAGTCGTGCCCACTCGGCCCACAAGGCCCAGGCCACTCCCGATCCATCGCCACGTGCAGAGGCTCGCCTTCCACCTGAATCAAAACCTCTCCCTGCCGTGCTTGCCGTCTCGATGCCGAAACCATGAGAATCCATGCAAGGCCCGCCAGCTCCATGACCACATAAGGCGAAGCTACGGATACAATCGGCCTCAGCAGCAAGTTCAAGATTAATGAAGCAACAAGAAAGCAGCTTCAGCGAAGGGCTGACAGTTTGCACTGATCTGTTGGCAATACCATGCAGGGCGCCAAGTCCGAGAATGCACGAGAAGCCCCGACAAGATGGAAGACTTCTGCAGTCAGATGTGCGCGACGACTCTTTCGAGGGATGACATGACGAGACGCTGAATCTAGCGACTGAAGGCTCTGGCCCCTCCTTCTCCCAGTCCATTCCTGCAAAGAGCAAGGTGGGGCCAGGTGGGGGTGCAACACATCGTAACAACTGGTCTTCGTACAGCCGCGGAAATTTGGCCGGCAGTAGCTCTGGCAAGTGCTGTGGCAGGGCTGATGCAGCTCCAGCTCCATGTGGCTTGCATAGGGCTTGCCCCTTATTGCGCTTTGCAGCTTGCCATGCAGCCAGCTGGTTCTGCCCGGCGTCGAGGCGAAAACCATGACAGCAAAAAGCCACTTGCTGCGATGGTAGCATGTTCTGGGATGGCCTGGAGTCTCGAACTTCTTTCGGCGTGCATCAAAGTCTCCTGGAGCATCACACAGCCGCACTTTCACGCAAGCTGTCCATGATCTATCAACCAATTGACGATTCCAACATGGCTCAACTCAACTCCATCTACCGCTTCCCCACGACAAGAAAGACGGCACGGTGCCTGGAAAGACTTGAAGCAGGCCAGTGTAGTCCTTCGTGCAACGTCCATCTTAAAGCATACTCGTTCTGTCTTTCGCGAGGAGTCATGTTGGCATCGAGCCTCCAAGTAACGTGCAAACAATTTGGCAGCAGATTCGCCTGCACGTATCTGCTCTCTTCGTCATCCAAGCGCACGTAAAGCCATTGCAAAACATCTGCTACATCTGCGTGCCGCAAGTAGGCGCCACACAGTATCTGCCGTCCTTTGTGTTGTGCAGTTTCTGCAAAGACCTCTGGGACTATGTGAGCCAGCGCCGTCGAGCAGAACATGAAAATTTGGCATGTGCTCTTGGCGCAACCGCACTTGCCGTACCAGTACCAGTGCTAAGCCACGAAGCAAGCAGGTGTGCATGGGTGCCGACGGGAAAACCAAGAGGGCAAGGCGGTCATCGTTCGACGCATTCACATTTCGCAAAAAAGTTTCTCGCGCTCTCGAAGTCAACACAGACAGAGGCCTCGCAGCTTCGAGGACCGCCCGTAGGCCGCACGCGTAGACGCACACGACACTACTCAATCCAACATCTCTGCTTGGAGATTTTGTCGCGCGAAGCTACAAGTAGGGCTGGAGCGATGCATGAAAGTTCATTTTTGAGCGACTGCACACTTACCGTCTGAGCCGCCCACCACTGGCTCTCGCGGTGCATGGAAAAACAGTGCTGCTTCCCCCAGTATGCCTGGGCATGCAAAGGCAAAGGATATCGAGTGTGCCGGAATGGCGTGGCCGGTATCCACTCCTCACACGCTTAGCTACATAAGCTCCTTGCGCGCTGTGGATGCTTCAGCACCTACCAAGCCGAGATGGCAGGAATGCTCACAAAACCACTGCACATGACAATCCGCGAAAGCTGCGTTCGGGTGCCTTGACTGCCACATGACCGAGCGATCCGGAGCAGTCGTAAGCACGATAGACCACACCTGGGCAGGCTGACGTTGTCTTGCTCCCACCTCTGGCTATGCCTCCGGCAGTCTGTGGGTCGCGCGCGGATTCCTTCAACTTTTCGCCGATTATTCCGTCAACCACTGCCCGCGGATTCTGTCAACCCGGAAACGCGGATGCCTTCAACCTCAAAACCTGATTCCTTCAACCTCAGCACGCAGATTCATTCAACCATGTCCAAGGGAATGATTCCTTCAACCCAAAGAATTGCTTCGGTCAACCCATACACAACCTGATTCTTTCAACCCCAGCACGCAGATTCACTCAACCATGCCTCATTCTTTCAACCCCAGCAGGAGATTCACTCAACCATGGCCCCGGGAATGATTCCTTCAACCCAAACAACTGCTTCGTTCAACCCATACGGAAAGAGTCGCTCCAACTACAGACACGCGTGCTACCCCAACCACGAGTACTCACTCAACCCTAACCGGGGGGGCGGAGTTGACGGAATCAGCACAGTATGCGTTGATGGAATCGGGCGATGGGGATTGACAGAATCGGCAATATCCGGGTTGAGGGAAGCGGGCGATGGGGGTTGAAAGAATCGGCACAATCTGAGTTGAGGGAAGCGGGGAACATGGTTGAAGGAAGCGCGGTTGACGGAATCTTGGTTGACGGAACCGCGCGAAGTTGAGGAATAAGGCTTGTACCGCAGTCTGTGGGAAAGCAGTGCAGGCTTGGGTCGTCTGAGCCCCACACCAAGTCCGCCCTCGCCGAGCCTCGCCTCACACGAGTGACAGACGTGTACTCCGCGAACGAATGGGCTCGGGTGACACTTCGGCATGGCAGCACACCTGGTAGTTCCATCTCCCTGCACCGGACGCCGAATCCTGCAAAACGCATCGAAAGAACTTGGTGGTTCCTACTACGAAACCCCAACTATGCGACCGCTGCTCCACAACTACAGAGATTGGGCCGCGGCATAGCAATCTGGCAAGATGTCGTCATCCCCCCTGGAGATGTGAACGTAGCTTGCAAGATTTACACAATTCTGTATGCGTGCACAAGCTTGCAGCATGAAAGATGTACAGTAGTGCCTCTTGTACCGAGCTGATGAAGGTTGCATGTGAAGCAAACTGAGGGTAGCAAGGAAGCGAACAGTTGGAAATCCGCAAGCAATGCCAAATCCCGAAGCAATGGTGCCAGGCACACAACTTGTCCGGAACTCGTGCTGGCAGAACAACCTTGCAGGTGCAAGACTGCAATGTTGCTACACACACACACGGTCACACACGTGTGCACACACTAAGACAAACAGAGGACATGCGGATCTCAGAGAGCGCGACCCCCCCGGCTCCTCCTCCTGGCGTCGATTGAACAATAACACGAGCTGCTGAACAGGATCCATCTAGGTCCATGCACCTTCAACCCCCCGTCAACCTGCAAACACGAATCCACAACAGCATGGATGACCGAATATTGGACTCCACCTTGGGCCCGCAAGCGGATCGAAGACGGAGGCCACACAATGCCTCGGAGGGTGAGGGCACTGGGCGCGATGGTGGTTGCTCCCGACGTGCAACGCCCCGTAGGGACTCCGAACGGGATGACTCCCGGAAAGACTTGAAGAGTGCAAATCCGAAAGAACAAGCTTCATGCAAATGTCATTACAGAAACATGAACCTGCATAAGTAAGGCGATGAGTTGGCCAGCAGACTTGCAAGACGTTGACGATCAGCTGCCGAAGAATCGAAACCCGGCGTTGTCAGTGAACCGGAACGGGGATGTGGGAATGAACCATCACAGGGTACTTGAAGAGCAATCACTGCTGCAGCCCCATCCTTAGGCCGGCAGCCAACACGGTACGAATAAAAGTGGAAGAGGCTGGTCTCCAGCACCTGACAAAAATCATGCAAATCTAATCCGGTGACAGAAGTCAACACAGCAAGCCTCGTTCTGACGAACATTGCGGCATTTGCTCCGAAGAGGAACGACCTGTTGGCAGTTGGCAGCGAGTGGGTTCATGAAGGTGTGGGAGACTCGCGGAAGCATCCAATCAGCGAAAGTGATGCCGAAACGTAGGAAAGTGTTGTGGGCAAAAGCAGCAATCACAACACGACCTGGGGGCCTAGCCAAGACATGCCCGTCTTCAAGCACCTCTGGAGGACCTCCTCGTGAAGACACGGCACTCATCACATGATTGCCACGTGACGCTAAAATGCAGGCAACAAGGGATTGAAGCAAAGGCCCGTACCCAATCGCAGGATGTTGGCCAAATCAGGGAAACCGTCCGGCCCCAACCTTGAGCTATTGCAAGGTTTCGGACGGCACGGGCCTTCTTCGGGCTTCGTCCCCAGAAATCTGAGCCACTAGACATGCACGGCGATTCTCATCTGTATGACCAAGGTCCTGGCTTGCATAAGCCAGGGCCGTTCTGAGACCTGGTCAACAGCCACATGCAAAAAATGTGAACATGGGAATTGTCAGGCCGCCCCGCCCCCCCCCCCCCCCCCGAATCGGCCTGTCCCGCGCCAAAACACAAATTTGTCCAGCTTTCCCCTGCGACCTCGTGGCACGTATCTCAATTATTTCCGCTCTGAAAGAGACTCCAGTCATCAAATTAGCAAAAAAACGAAGCCCTTGTAGCGGTTAGACCTTTGCCTGTGCATCTTTTCGGGAGCAGACAGCCGAGACAACGCCGATGTGAGGGCTGCGTGCACATCCTTCGGATCGCGCATCATCTCGTCCCGAGCTGCGCCCGCCACACGTTGCGCGGCTCGTCTATATCCGATGGCGATCGGATCCCTCATTAACAGTTCAAAGCGGTGTGGTGTCCGGACATAATCCAAAGACTGTGAGCGGCCTTCAATAAGAACATTCATGCCAGCTGCTTGCATCTTGCAAGCCGCTTGTGCCGCAAAGTTCACCACCTCACCCTGCATCTTTGCGGCGACCATTGGGACGAAGCTGCCGACTTCGGGATCTTTTAGCAGAGTATTGGCGATCTCCGAGACGAGAAGATCCTGGTCCAAGCCTTTGATTTGAATGTCGAATTCTCCTTTGAACTTGCCGAACTCCAAGCGTGAGATGAGCGTTTCCAGGAATTGGTGCGTCAGCTTTTCTGGCTTCAAATCACCCGGGCACATTTGCAGGGCCAGCAACGTCAGGGCACGAAAGACATTGCCGTTTGACCAGCATGCAGCCTTGGGCATGCCAGCCTTGAGCTTCTTGACGAGAGTGCTCTTTCCGGTGCCGCTGCTGCCTTGTATAACCACTACACATCCGTTTTCAGGAGCACGCCCAAGCTTGAGCCGGATTTCATCAGCAATAACTCTCACTGACTTCCCTTCCGCCTCGATCGGTAACACGGGTTCCACTCGAGGGTGTTCCCGCAAGACACCCCTTGCCACGGCCTCGGCCACGCCTTTTGCAAGCTTGTCTTCGTCCTCCTTGTCCCGCAACATGGCTGCCTCCGCCTCCAAACTTGCCAACAACTGAAAGCCGGGCAGTGCCTGAACAGGGCACTGCAAATGCAAGAAACATTGCAACTCCTCGTGCTTCGCTGCTGGTCCTGTCTCCCACGCCTACCTGCAAAGATGCTATCACCGAGTTCGATGTCTCGTCGGAGGCTTCTTGCAACAGCTCGGCAGTGAGCACCTCGCAAGCACAGTGCGTGAATTTAGCCGCGCCGTTCTGCAGCTCGTGCCAGGCCACAGCCTGCGTTCCGGGCATTCGAAATGGCCGCTCTGCCGCGAGTGCACTCAGCCAGCCGCCAACCCAACCTCACAGGCACGGCGCTGTGTCAAGGCAAGAAAACTTCGGCCTGATGGGCCTCGGCCACTCCATGTCCAATCAGCTTGCCGGCGTCGCCCGCCGTACGCTGGGAGTGCCTTGGGCAGCTGATTTGGAAATGCGGACAAAACCCTGCTGTGGCAGGCTGAGTTCCAGCCAGGTCACCTGAGCCATGAGCGCATTGGAAGATCGCCGTAGAGAGTGAGCTCGCAGCAAACCAGACATCCTTCTCCTTAGGATCCACGCATTCAGTCCAAGAACGGCATCAACCAGCTCCGCTTGGTGGCCAGGAGGCTCCAATCTTATGCGAGCCGCTGGAGGTGTAGCGCCAAACCGCCGCCCGACCGCATTGCGCTCATGGACGGAGTTTCGTGTGACTGGTTTACGTATATCATCCTTCGGACTGTGGATGTGCAAGTCGGACAGTTGGACGAAGGCGCAAGTGTTGGTGTGTATGCCAGGCCTGTTGACATGCTAAGCTCAGCTTTCAAACACGGCCCATCATCAGAACGAGAAATGTTGGAGCGCGGGTTTGCAAGCTGGCTGCAGCTCTTGGCACGGGGCTTTCCGTTGCCAATGCGCCCGGCCGAGAACTCCACGTGTGCGGATGAAACACCTCAGCGCGCAATACGCTCAGTTTTCAGCTCCTACTAAAACATGTCGGCACCGTGAAGCGGAGAACGGCTTGTTTGCAAGTCCTCCATCTCTCCGACAGCAAGAAGTGGGCCCGAGGGCCACCTACCATGATCCTTCTGATCATGCGAATTACTGTCTTTACTTGTCTTATCTTGAACTTCGATCATTGCAAGAGTATCACGACCTCTCCTGGCCAGCCGTACTTTGGGTGAAACAGCTCTCTGGAGGCAACGAACAAATGGCCAAGAAGCTCCAGCTTGACCATGCTACCCCAGGTCAGGGAATAGTGTCGAAAAGGTGCTGCAAGGGTACGTGACTGTCCGGAGACAACTTGGTTTGGTCATGAGTCATACATACTGTAGTTGTACCTGTCGGGGCTCGGTCACTGATATGTCTTTTCTTATCTTTGTCTTGCTGGTGCTTTTGGCCGTATGCTTCCATTTTCTTCCTGAGGTCATTCAGATTGTGACGCCGGTGGCATTCTTACTGCCAGTCGCGTGGTTCTTAACCTGTGATGTTAACCCTAGTTCCGACTCTTCGAGCTGCATTTGGATCCAATACCTATGTTGCTGTCTGCGCGGCTGTGCCCTTATGCAGCAGCCGGAGCTTCGGAACCTTTAGCGTCCTCAGCTGTCTCTGGCCCCGCCGCCTCCTCCAGGGATGCGATGGCTTCGGCCTGCCATTCGAGCTTTCCGTGCTTTGCCCCTTCAAACAACGGCACAAGCTCATCGAAGCTTACAGTGTCTCCAGCCGATCGGAAACTGAACATTTGACTGGCGCACACACACACACAAAACAAAAGTCCGAGCCTCATGCTGCTGCTGCGCTTCTTTCCGACGGCGCTGCTGCCTGCGCATTTCGTCCATCTCGCGCTGATACCTTTCTTGAACAGTGGCCGAATAAAGCAGTTCCGGTGGTAGGCACGTGCTTCAATGAACGCACCTGTGAATCATGTCGGTACAGGGCAAGGCGCGGATGCTTGTCCAACTCGAGGAACTCGACGAGGACCTGCCGGAAAGCAAAAGCCCCCAAACACTCTCGACCATGGACCCCGCTGGCACTAGAACTAACTACCTCACTACCAATCAGACTACCACGCCACAACCTTTACCACGACGACAACTACTACTTCCACTACTACGACTGCTGCTACTGGCGCTGCTCACTGCTCCTGCTCCTGCTGCAGGCGCTGCTGCCCTCCTACTGCTACTGCTGCTACTATTGCTACTACTACCACTTTGACGACGACGACGACTACTACCGACGACTACAACTGTCACTCCTGCGATTCTACGACGACTACGACCATCACCACGCCACCACCACCGCCATTACTGCTGCTACTGCTATGACGACGAAAACATCTACGACGAAAACAACCACTACTACCACCACCAGCACCAACAACAGCAACACTCCGCCTCCAGTACTGCTACAACTGCTCCTATGGCTGCTTCTTTCGCTGCTATATACTGCTTCTTCTGGTCGAGCTAACCATTCTCCGACAGCACCCTGCGCACGTGCTTTGCAAGGTGGAGTCTACGCCTCGCCAACAAAGCTCATGTTGTCGAAGACACCTGAAGAAGGTGCACCGGGCCCCGGAAACCTCCAAAAGAACCCCAGCAGACGGAGCTCTTGCAAACAGCATCGACTCCCAAGCGCCCACAAGAGCTTGCTTACATCTTCTTGGGTTGAAGCTTGATCTTGTGCAAGCCTTGCCATCTCGATGTTTCGAGACCATTAAGCGTCTACCCTGCTGCGGAATCAAACCACATTGCTGCATTCCAGCCGCGATAGCCCACGTTGCCGAAAAATCTCGCGACCTTCCGGCCAAGGCCATGGGGCTCCTGGCTCAGAACTGCGACTTTAGCGGTGCCTGCTCACCATTTCATTCATTACATGGCTTCTGGCACCACGCCTCATCCTTCACCTCAGACTCGCCCGAGGCAACCTGCTTCGGCTGAGTCAACCCCTGCTTGCTTTGGGTTGGCTGCCATCCTGTGGGATATGTTGCACTTTGTCAAGCCCTTGAGCTTCTTCGTAAGGGCTTTCATCTCCTAGCTTCCGAGGTTCAAGAGACGGCCTTTGGCGTCCTCGTGCTGTAACGCTGCAGGGCATAAGCTGACGAAGGTCCAAGTCCTCTTGCTGCAGAGTCACCTCCAAGGGCGGTGGCTGCACAGGCTGTCCGGTGGCGGATGACCTTCGACGGCAAAATGCAGGTTCAGCCGACCGCTGCCCCGTTCCAACAGGATATCTTGTGCGGCTCATCGCGTCTGGGCCGGCCACTCCGATGCCGACATGTCTGGCATCTGTATCCCTAACTTGAGCCGCAAGGCCAGCGCCGATGTGAGTCTTCCTAGCCGCCTAGCCACCTTTGGGGCCTAGCCGCCTGGCCTCTCGGAAGCATCAAGTCGCAACGAGCACGTGCTCTCACGTTCTCTCTTCGGCCCCGGGCTTGACTCGTTGACCACGACGGCGCTCTTCGGGGCCCGGCCCAAGAACGCTACCTGCCGCGGCGGCCGTCTCAAGTCTCTTTCCTAGGCTTCCGGGCTCGGCCTCCGTCCCATGCAGAGTCACCTGTCCCAATAAAAAGGTCCGCCGCAGCATGCACCACTGTGATGGGTCTCTTGTTCTTGCCTCGTGGGCCGCTCCACCACGCTGCACCAAGGCAAAGCGCAAGGGCACACCTGTCACGTGGAGGAAGTGAGGCAAACCCGCGACGAGTGAAAGTCGCTCCCAGATTGGGAAGACCCCTCAGCTGGTGCTTGGCTGCGGTGCCGCCAATCAACTTCGACAACTTGCACATTCCTCGACTGGAGCAAGCGGACAAGCCTCCAGTCTCGTCCAGCATTCCGGGTCCATCGCTCTGGTCTTGATCTGTTCAAACAACTTCCATGTCGATGGAGATTCCTGGCTGGCCATCTAAGCCATGCGAGGTCGACAGCTTCACCTTCAAACTGGGCTCCTGTTGGTCAGCAAAGGAACACCTACGTGTAACAATGAACTACACGGGGGGTTGTAGCAGATGCCAGTCGTATAGACATGCATACAGCTGGATCTGAGCAGCTCCACACACTGCAGCGCAAATTCAGCAAGCATCCATGGTATCCTCGGGGCAACTTGTGGAGTTATGCAGAAGTTTGTGCATGCACGTTCCTTTCAACATGTGCACCAGACCTGAGCAGGACGCAAAAAGCCAGTAACTCAATGAACCCCGCACTTCTACGCAGATTCGACGCTACTCGACGAGCTCAACACATGCATACGAGGCACGGCAATGCAAAGCAAAGAATTGAGGAATCTAGTACGACCAGAATGCCACCGCACTCTGCAGGACTGAGCATCTCCTTGGCAACCCCAGTCTTTCGCAATGATTCTACAAGTGTCCTACGTGCCGCGTCTTCATGGCTGTCTTGTCAACTGGGTGCATCCTGTGCATGACTAGCAGCAACTGAATCTTTTCTCAAATCTGTTTCGAACGGCAGACTTGGGGAAAGTCTGTGGAAAACACGGTTTCTCCGTCCTACACTTCCCCCCAAAGAACTGCTTGGATGTGATGTGATGTCGTATCTGCCAGATATGGAGATCAGATGCAGCAAATGCTTTGCAACTCGAGCGCTCAGGGCCCTCCAAGCCCACGGAGCAGCGCTCTGACTGTCCAGTACAGCGGACAGCAAGGTCTGGAGGGCGACAGCGGAGCTCCTGGCGCAGTGGGACGACAGCTCGAGCTCGCAATAGCTCGAAACTAGAGAGCTGCCAGCATGCCATCTGCAGTTTTCTTCCCTCAGTCCTCATGAGGCTGCAACGCGACACAAGGAAGCAAGATCCGAAAAGCAGCACCTCACGCAAATCCGCTCAATGGCAGCCACTAGTGCAACCCGACTGGACAGCGTGGGCATGCGTGGGCCCAGCCTCGCAGGCCAAGGAGCATCACTCTTCCTCCCACGGATACAGGGCTACTGTCTGCATGCCTTCCTACCACTTTCCAGATAGAGCTGGCTGTCCTTGACCACTCCGATCTTGCAGCCGCCTGGCAGATCCGAGGCACTGAGGGTCGACACCTGCGACACTCATTCTCGTTGGGTGAGATCTTGTAAAGCACGAGCCACTTGCAACGAGTTCGATGTCGCTCTTTTTTGCTTGCTGATGCCAAGCCCTGATGGTCTACCTGAAGCTTCGCGTTGGGAATTCTTGCCTTCTTGAAATCCAACCTTGCGCGTCTACGGTTTGTCCCCATGAAGAACTACGAGACGTGTTGCATAGGCACTTGACCCCGAAGGCTCTGCGGCCAGTCTTGAATCAGGGCACGGCCCGTCTTCAGTACTGGCCTGTTGGTCATAAAGTCTGGGATTGTCTGGGCAGGTCGTAGCGTTCGTACGACTGCTGCCCCAAACCTGAAGGACGAGTTCACCTCAGCCCTCAGCGTATGTCCAGTGCCCAGAGGCTATCGCGGTGAAACCTTGCTCGTCCTGACGTCCCGGGGATGTCTGTGCACTTGTCCCCAGGTGACGGCAGGGTTTCCCGTAGTAGCTCTTTATACCTGGCCATTGGCACGAAGCTACTTTGCGTAAAGAGTGTTGGCACAAAACACAGCACGTGTTAAGAATGATGTGGCAAGTTCGCACGGCCGCACAAACATGGCCGACACACTCCACGATCCTGCTGCAGTTTGCGCAGCATTGTGCTCTCTTGCAGTGCGGTTACCATCAAGCTGATTGAACTTGGATGAAATAATCTGGTTTACCGTCTAAGAAAAGAAGAAACATTCAATACCCATCTGGGACATCCGTAAAATCGAGCATGCCCGACTTCTCCCAGTTGGGTCAAGAGTTCCCAGACTCACAAAAAAGTGTCCGAGGCCTGCACAGTGAAAGGTGTGCAATGCCATGCCTTCGATGCTAGCGTTAGACCACATCGGCATGATGCCAACTTCACACCGATCACCCTGCATGCGCGGTGTGAAATGTTCGAAACCAGAGCTGGGACGGACAAGTCGCTTGAGAAGGGGTCGCTCCCCCAACCGAGCCGGCCTCTGGCCACACATGCTCGGTATGTACGAAAACAGGTGACCGAGCTGATAGTCAGTAAGTCTATGCTCCATAGGAGTAGCTCAAAGGTCTCCTGGAAAATCGCGGAAAGCACTATGTAGTTGCATCTCTATCGCATTGCCCACACTCGGTGTCGAACGATGCAAGAAACTCTTGGGAGCCCATCGCAAGGCCTGGCGAGGAACGATCGCAGTTCTCGAAGTGTAGCCCATGGTGGGGAGCGTGCAAAGCAGCGTGCTGCAACGTGCAGCTGCCGTCAACCCTCAGTGATGCATCCCCACAACATCTGGAGACGTCTATGCCGTCGAAAAGCAAATCAAGTCAGAGGCCACCTAGCCAGCCCAGCGCTCACGGACGGGGGAAGCGGTCACATCGGATCCCAGGCCTTGGCGCCATGCAAATCCGAGCCTTTCATCCGGTCGGCTCTGCTTCCGAGTTGCTGAAGCTGCTCCTGCTCGGCCCGCAGCTCATCATCTCGTCCAGCCTTGGCCGCACGGAAACCCTGAACTTCGCTTGGCACTGGACCCAAGCTGAAACTAATTGCAGCTCCGCAGCGTGCGAGGGGTGTCCACGGAGGAGCCCGCGCCTCTCTGCAAACAGGTTTTTTCTGTGTCCCACGGTGCCACGGTGGCCCATGCCCCGCCCGCCTGAACTGCGAGCCGCCAGTACTTCCAGGGCCGCCGTGAGGAGCTGCCTGCCGCCATGGGACACTTGCAAGCTGGTGCAGAAGGGTGAGCTGGCCCTGCTGGCCTCTGCATCAGCTCAGGCGGGTCACATTGAGGATTTGGAGGCCTCAGGCTTTTACGGGTCGTCATCTCAGGCTCGCTGCTATGGGTTATGGTGCGCCGCTCCATGTGTCAGCCTTCCTTGCATCTGGGAAAGGAACTCGCCGAACTGCGCATGCCCTATCTCAGGACCTGCGCAGGTCATTGAAGTGAGACACGACATGATGCGACATGCAATGCAAGACCTGAAGTAATGCTGCCTGCCCGCCCAGCAAGAACTGACATCAGCTGCTGCTGAGTTTGCAACCTTGGCAGGTTGTTTGAGACTTGTTGAGTCGTTGAGGGTTGATGGCCGCACTGCGACTTCTTTGATTTTGACGACCGGCCTGCAGGTTTACAAAGAAACCTGCAATGTTTCCACACACTCCTAAAATGCGGGATCTGCTGCCTGAGAGTTGGAACCAGTTGAAGAAAGACGTTGCATCACGACTGTAAATGCATGTTGTTGCCACTCCGTTGGACTTGCCCGGCGCAAAGCCCCTATGCAGCCATGCATACATAAACGCATCCATCCACAAGCGCCAGCAATGCTTGTGACAATCCTTGGCGACGCTCCTCTTTTTCCCAGAGATACGGGCGAGCACAGCAGACTCTGGACTCCAGCAAGTAAGCGATCCTTCACGCAAACTGGCGTGAGACGCGTTTGGCCTGTGAAAGGCCCCCTGAAGTGGCTATCCTGCCGCCTGACACTGCACAGCGTGACAGGGTGCCATAAGAAACTAGAGCTATCGAGTGACCGAGCTTTGCTGTCACTGCCCGCCTTGTTCAGGGCATCGAGCACGAAATGCTGCTCCTCTGCAGCACGTGAGACCCCTGTTTGACACACGCTTCTGCTGAATACGTGGCAAGGAGTCCTGCATCGGCAGCGACTGTAGAAGCTCCGATGTGCCAAAGCGCAGGAACTCTATGTATTCCTCTCCCAGCTCTGCCTGGCAGAGCTTTAGTGTGCCGTCTGTGTGGCTGTGTCGCTGCAAGCACCTGCAAGAGATCGAGTTGCTTGGCTGGCAAGCTGCCTTGGCAGAGAACCGCACGTCAGCAAGTGGCATTCCGAAGGCACGTTTCTCCCTCTCGGCCAGCTGCACACTATCTTGCGCAGCTCCACTGCATCTGCCAGGTCAAAACCGACCTTGGCCGGGCATCACCGGTACAACTACGTTCGTTTTTCCGTGTTGTCAACAAAAGAGTACATGGCAAGACTCAACAACGAAACTGTGGCCTCCTCGGTGTGGTAATGATGAGAAAGCTTCGATGGTCCAGATATGACAGTCACGTCATCCAACGGCCGCAGAGCATGCCACCAGCCATGCGGGATGAAGATGAACCTGCGGAGCACTGAAGAATTTAACAGAATGGCAGTGCTCGCAGCAAGCAGCAACACAGACTGACCAACAGTCTCGTGCTTTCAGCGAGGCTGCTGCCGCCCGGACCCGCGGTTTCAAGCTGCTTCTAACTTTTGCCTTGTACTGTGCATGTTTCTCGAGTTCTTTGATTTGCTTTTGGCTTCTTGCATGGGCGAATTGTTGCTCTTTCTATTGGGTTTTGCTTGCAAAGTAATCCGCCGAGGCCAGAGGCCCAGGCGTTTTGGTGGTTACCTCAGGTACCCTCCACCTAATCCTCCTCCCTCCACCCGAAATGATTGGTGACACCCTGTTTTTGCGTTCGTTTGCCACCCCCTTGCCCGGCTTCCCCTCATTTTGCCTGATTTGTCGGCCTCCCCCCCCCCTCCCAGGCCTCCCTTCCCTCATTTTACCTGATTTGTCGCCTCCCTTCTGCCCCCAGCCCTCCCCCCCGCCTCCCCCCCCCTCCCCCCCTCTGAGATGTAACCTGGACGTGTATCCCCTCGCTAGGCGTACAGGAACACAGGCACTCAGGTGTCTTTTTTGCTACAGGCGCACAGCTGTAGTCCACTGCACTAGAACCTTGAGCAACAGGCATGGATACATGCAAGTGATACGTGAAACAGACAGGCACCTGGATGTGTAACATTCAGTGTTTCAACCAGGCACAAATTTAAAACACGTAGAGCTGCATGGCCGTGGAGTCGGCAATCTACAAGCCTGTTATTGCTCTTGGTCGAATTAGCGGAGTATTGAGCTACATCTGCGACTTGAAGAGAATCTATACATCTCTAGCCTGAAGACAGCTTCAATGAAAAGAGCAGAACACGCACGAAACGCAAACGGATCTTCAACTGAAAACTTTTGCTTGAAAGTTGCCCACTTGTGTTTCAGTTCCCTCTCCAGGCGGAAAGCATACTGTAACATAAAGGTGTAAAGCTTAGCTTTACTTGATGCCAGCATGACATCTTGCGGCAAGGCAAATATATAAGGGCATTAGAAGTATCTTATCCTGAGATGAGTATCTTTCTTTGAGAAAGAGTTCTTTAGGAAGTCCCTTTTCCTGAGAAAAGCATCTCCCTATGAAGTGGCGAATGCTCAAAGTGGATACCTTCTTATGAAAGAAGCATTCCGTGAAACACACAGCCAGTTCAGTCGACGAACTCTAGGTCTGCATCCCAGGTTCTATCACGCCAATGATCCTCACCATGCCAACGGTAGATGTCGACAGGGTGAATCGGCATCACCGGCTGATGACGAACAGGGTCGTAACCGCGGGGATCAGCAGGGGATCTAGGTAGCGATATCTGTGGATCTGGAGCAACGTCTCCAACTTGTTCCAAAGGAACTTCTTCAGAACCATTGTCCATATCCACGTCCGAAGAATCGGAACCTAGTCAGTTCTTCCCCTTGTTCTTGCCCTTGGACTTGTCCTTGGATTTGCCTTTGGACTTGCCCTTGTCGGCGTCCTTCCCTTTTCCTTTGGAGGACTTGCCTCCTTTGCCGCCTTCTTTGCCACCAGGAGGTTGTGCGGGTTCTGGAGGACGTTGAGAACCAGAAGCTTTAGCACCAGAAGCTGCCTCTTCCTGAGAAGAGCTTGCTCCCTGTGGTGCGGCTGCAGGACCAGTAGAACCAGAACCACGCGCCTTGTTCAGCTTCTGTCTCTCTTTTCTTCTGTCCGCGGCTTCCTTCATGGTGTCGGGATTGCGGTTGAGCGCTCTCATCCTGCCTCCAGAGTACTGGTTCGCGTGAACCTCGATGAGGAGCGGAGTGTGAGCGTCATAGTCCCGATCGTTGAGAAGGTACGCGGCGCTGGTGGAGTTTAACAGCCACTCAGAGACATGGATGTCGAACTCATTCTTTGAAGACGGAAACTCCGCCCATTGATCGTCCGACATGCTGTGTCCCCATTCCATGACTGTAGCCATAACAGGATCCAAACCAGGAAAAGTATTCCAGTCTGGTTGCTTAGCTTCCTTGTATGGCATTCCCAGCGTGTCCTCATACTGTTTCAGAAGCCACATGGCGTTTGCTGACACATGTCTCGCACGAGGCGAACAGAGGTGTGGGCACTTTGGGCTTTCTGACCATGCCTCCAAGAAGTAGTCGAGAAGGCTTTGGTACATCCCGCCACGAATATCCATCGACTCCTGCTTTCTGCCGGTGGCCCGGTAGAGGGCCATGTTGGCGTCGCCACCGATGAGGTCGACTTGGTAGTGCAGGCAGTCGATGAACATGTTGCCCAACACTTCATGAGCCAACGCCACCTTGTCTGCCGCCGCGTCGTTGTGGAGGTGGAAGACACAAACTCTCAGCCGGTCGGATCCAGCTCGCTCCAAGACCTTGGTCAGTGACTCATCTGGAACATCACCACGACTGCCCTGGAGACCGGTCGGTAACGTCATGCCATACACGATTTCCGCGACCATATAGGTTATTGGAAGGGACTCGTGGGCATATCCACTGAGAGTGGAGCCGGCAAGACGGGTGATCGAAGATCCGACACCATTTGTACGACTTCCCACCATCAGGTCCTTGGACTCGTTACGAAGGAATTGCCAACCGCGTGACTTGAGGAAGGCCTCTTCGGAGTCATCGATCTGAGCCGCTTCGCAGAGCATGAACAAATGCGTCTTCGACTGTGCAATCGATTTTATCAAGGCTCCTTTAGATGGTGTAGCATCGTCCCAGTCAATGTGATTAGCAACGGAGCGAGGAGCGGTACGCTTTCTTCCCCTGCTCATGTTGCCGAGATTGAGGATGAGCGCGGCATACTTGGTCTTGCTGGTGAAGATAGGGACATTGGAGTCCTCTGCCAGACCAAAACGATGAATATAAGGATTCGGCGTCTTCTCAAGAGAGAGGTCCCCGATCTCCTCTTCATCGACTCCGGTGCTCAAGAAGTAGTGAAGCATAGCATTCAAAAGTTCTTCTCGAGTTGCCGGATTGCCGCTTGCATCCAGGGACTTCAGCTTATCAAGAAGTGCTTCCATAACATCCAGTGCTGATTCTCGGATGTCAGAGGCCTTGCCCATGAGCTTGTCGTCCAAGGTGCTACGAACGTCCCCAGAACGAAAAACAACGTCCTTTTTGTCGGGACGACGCTCATAGATGGGATCCATCTTGTTGAGTTGGTCGAATAGATCCACCATAGAGATAGAGTATTTCTGTCCCTTGTGGTTTGGAACATTTACCCTCCAACTCATATGCTGCACCTTGTAGGCGAGAACGGGCTCGTAATCAGGATCACGAAGTCCTGTATGATACAAGCCTGAATAGCCATATCCACGCAGCTGCTTGCAGAGCATCCGCATAGGGCTTTGTCGTTCGATTTCGGTGAGCTGCGTAAGGAAATGTTTGAACTCTTCGAGATCGACGAGCTCGATCTTTTCCTTTGCTTTGCCCATCTTGTCGAACGCGTTCTCATTCTGGTCCTCTGCATCCTTCGCGGCCTGGTAGTACTCAGGATCCGGAACAGTCTTGCATTTCCCCCAGATGCCTTGATCGTGAAGTTCACTTTCATCATCCTTCTCGGGAGAAATGTCTGGCATGGATTCCTCACCCTGTGGTGAGCCTTCCTCAGCCATTTCGACGTTCTCGGACTTACCTCCTTCCTGACCCATGTGCGCATCAGGTTCGACCTTCACCTCGGATGCCTCTCCCTGTGGAGAGCTTTCCGTGGCTTCGGTCTTCTGTTGTGGAACATCCACCCCAGATGCCTCCCCATGTGGAGAGCTTTCCGGAGCGTCCGTCTCCATTGGCTCGACAGTAACCCCAGATGCCTCTCCCTGTGGAGAGCTTTCTGGAGCTTCAGTCTCCATTGGCACATCGGTCGGCTCGGTCTTAACCGGATCAACCTTCTTGCCCTGTGGCAAGTCCGTGGATCCAGACGACGGTTCGGAGGTATCCA